TCTTGTATCTGAGTTGCTTGCTCTGGTTCGATTCGTCGGTACTTTATAGCGTAGAATTCACTGTACCATGCCATTGTTTACAAATACCTTTGAGCTGTTCCATCCAAAAACATCAACAGAACTTCCCATCTCGAAACAGAACTAGACGCAAAAAACTTACAATGTATGAATGTTTGCGCCGTTCATTCAACGGTCGCTAATGTTTGTCTAGATATGTAATGGGATCTCATCCAAAGGTGCCGACCAATTCGATTACAGCCTGGGATGTCTCAAGGGAATTAGCGATAACATTCCCACACTCGCCAGTCACAGAATGAAATTTATTGAAATCTTGATTCAGAACACATAGAATTTGGAGGTTTATTCAATAAGTGATCTTCCCTGCGCACAAGCTTACTCACATTTGTTAGAGGTACAGTCAAAGTTTTCTCATTATAAAAGCGGGCGAAAAGCTGATATTTTCTGTTGTTACGGGGCGAGCGTCACGACATTGTGACCAGTGACCCTGAATGCGAAAATATTCATGTTAGTCGAACGATAAAATAAAACATGACTGAAGGCTTGCGGCATTATTTTTTCAATTCTGCTTCACTTCTGGCGACGTGCTTTTGTCGCCAAAAATTCCAAAGAGTAAAAACGAAGGAGTCGAATGTGAAGATTTCAAGAGCATGAAAAGATTAAAACAAGCTTGAGAAAAAGGATTGACCTTTTTGTTGGTGAAGCCCGATATGCTGATAGAAACATTTTGAAGCGTCGTTAGGTAGTGTGCGTTTCTTTGACCAATATTGTTGGTTATTGTATTCAAAATGAAAACTGCAGAATCCGTAGGCTCAAATTCGACTGCTTGGTCCATTCTTAGGAAGACTCGAAAACCGCATCTTCTTTCCTGCGTGTGCTAATTGTTTGGTTGCTGCCGTCTTCGCATTTCATATAATAGAACACTGGTAATTTATTCATTCAAATACAACTAAATTAGCTTACTTTCCAGCATACAAAATGCAATATTGAAGTACAACAGAGCCGGTTGTTTTAAACGCATTAAAAATCTGTTTAAACGCATACAAAATGCATTTCCACGCTTTTCGACAAAGCTGATTAAATGCGTTAGAACGTTGTTTTCTAAATTCACCTTAATAAGCAAACCATTTAAACGTTTTCGTTAAAGCATTAAGCGTTTAAACGTTTGCAGGAACCTATTTAATGGATTTAAACGGATAGTAAACGGTTTCCCCGTTTAAACGGAAAAGCGTTAGTGTCCGTTTTCCCAAAGAGGGTCACAGTTTTGATGCTGTTCATTTGTTTCAGTTGTTATCAGTGTGTAGCAAGTCAGCGTGTATTGCAGAACTTTGACCAATCTTGGTAAACGTGCAGAATGAGTAAGTGAGTAAGTGAGTGAACAAGGGAATGCGTGACCAAATGCCACTCAATTGCCTCCAAAAGCCTACGGAATGACGTGAATATTTTTTTCCGTACAGCCGTCCTATGGAAATTATTAGACATACCGTATTTCTTCGATTAGCCACCCTGGGCACTTATTGAATTTTTGGACCTTGAGAGTGGGCGCTTATGCCAGGCTGGGCACTTATTAAATTTTCACCATTTTCAGCAAGTGAAGTATGTTTATTTTGCAACAAAACAATAAATGCTAATAACAAAATGCGAAGAAGTAACAAAGGAAGGTTTCTGTAAAATAAGCTAAAGAAAACTCTGTCCTCGGGGAAGTCTCTTATTAGAATTTATTCACTCAAGTAGGTGGGGTGGGGGTGAGCGCTTATTTGAGTTTGATTGGGAAGAGGAGGGGGTGGGCGCTTATACAAGGCTGGGTGCTTATTAACTTTTTCTGCCTTTCGGATGGGCGCTTATTCGAGGTGGACGCTAATTCGAGGTTGGGCGCTTATTCGAATAAATACGGTAAGATTCTCATTTCTAACGCGTTTGCCTACTCGTCCAGATGGCGTCAGAAACCGTGACAAGGTAAGTCGCTCTTGAATTTAAAAACAACAACACTTAATAATTTGCAAATAATTTTCTTTCAATTAATCACTACATTTACGATCTCGAACATAATTGCTGGTACAGACAATCGCACTCAGGTGATGTATGTTGATTATTGCAATTGTTTAAGCTAAATGCTTACCGTTCACGTAATCTGCAGGGTATAAACAACAGCACTCACCTGGGATGCTTTCCCGCACACATCTTGTCTTGTCGAAAGACGTTTCCCTCTCACAGGCGCATTCAACGGAGCTGTTGAACATGCAAAGTCAGAGAAGAGGTGATTGAACTGAACTGAACTGAACTGAAGTAGAGAAATTTAAGCTTACATTGGTTGTTTTCAAGAGAAAGGTTGCACTGCATGTAGATTACTCTCTGTCTCTGCAGAACGTTTTTACCTCCAAAGTTGATTTTCTGAATGGAAAATAACGTCTACTTGGTTTATTACATCTAATTGGTACAATTATGAATATAGCACGGTGAAGTCAACGAATTAACACACGAAGCTAAAAAGATGAGTGGCCATATGTTGGAGCGCCTTCACGAAAGAGTAGCTACCCACACTACTGCATGAATTTGGCGCAGATGTGGCTAATAATGAAATAAAGCTAACACTTAATGAATGAGAAACTAGTGAAAAGCCTCTTACTTGTTCGATGAATTCGGCTTTACATCCCGTGCGAAAGAAACAGATGAAATAGTTTATCTGAAAGATGAGCTACCAAACTCCTCGTGAAAATGAAATGCCAATCAGCTGTCATTTTACATATTTGAGCCTGCGAGGCTTTAAAAGGTGTCTGCGGTAACTCTGTTTGAAGAGTGGGGGTCGGGGGGACGGTCGGGGTCATCTCTTTTGGTTCTCCTTCCCGGCAATATCTGATAATTAAAAAATAATAATAATAACATCAAGAGTTAATATTATAATTCAAAGTAGGCAGACTGCAAATTATCTTAGTTGCTAAAAATATATATATCTACGTGTCGCAACTGTTCATCAGTAGGATGCCTAAAATGCGTGCAATTCCACAATTGGTTTCGGCTCCATTAAATCCTATACCAATTGCAGGACAGTTTAGGAGGAGCCACCCACCATGTGAGCACAGTCACGGACAATGTATAAGTGAGGAAAATAACGCAAAGTAAAATTAAGACGTTAATAAACGAACTAAATGTTCACGTCAATTAAATAAATAAACAAATAATGCGCGCGCTCAAGATAAAATTGTACGCGCACACGTACCAAGATACAACTGTTATACTACTACATGAGAAATTTCTGCAATTTGATTGGCTTAGCGCAGTGGTATTTCAGCTTAATTTGAAATACCTACGTGTGAAAATTACAAATCATGTGTTGGTAGTAGTATAAACAAATAATAGCATGATGTGCACTTGATATTTGGCATAAATACTACTCGTGATATTTCAAAATTGTCGCAAATTTCACTCGCCTAACGGCTCGTGAAATTTCGTATAACAATTTCGAAATATCACTCGAGGTATTTATGCCAAATATCACTAGAAATCATGCTATTACCTATACAAATACAACACTATGCAATAAATAAGTAATGTAAGGATACGATGGTGCAATTCAAGCCTAGATTGCTAATCTAATCTCCCGCAGGGCTGCACCATACTTCTCGACGATAAGACCATGGCGACTGAAGAATTTATTAAATGATTTCTGAAGTAGACTGGTTTCAGAGCCTTGCTGTCTGAGTCGTAATGAAAGTCCACGGAGTCTATTGATGAAGGCTGCAGTGGAAAGGGGAGGGTTTCTATAGCCGTGGAATTTTATCCTTAAGAAACAAAGTCGGCAAGGCCGTACATGATAGACACGATAGCCTACCCGGCGCACTATAAGAACACCTTGAACGACAGCTTTTGCTTTGTCCCTGTGAAAGGACCCCTGGTTCAAAGCATAAACAGCAGTGGTAAACATGATGCCGTCAAGAGTGTGCTCGATTGATTGGAAGGCACTTTGCACTAACACCCGGGGGGTAATCAATAAAGTTTTATACGTGAAGGCTCCTCCCCTAGGTCCAACCCCTTACTTTTTCATATGTCTTTCTGGACAGAGAAGCTACCCCTTTCGTATATATATATATATATACCTTCTATTGACAAATGGTACTCCTTTTACATACCTAGTTTAGAACTCTGTATCCCTTTTAACACTGTCCTATCACTTAAATCACAAGACTAGAAGGTTCCTCGACTTTTTCTCTGCCTTGAAAATGAATTTGTTATCCCTTTTGGACCTTTTGGGGCCCTTCTTAATTACAAACCGAAATGACAGATTCCTTTACCCTTTCATATACTTCACTAGAAAAATCTTTACCAGGCCTTCTAAGAAACTGAAGCCTGAAAAGGGTACCCCTTGTGGCCTTTTGGGCGGAGCCTCCATACGTAGAGAGGGCCATTATAGTGAGTACCCCCAGGCCTAATACCAGCGGAAAAGGTAATGAAAATAAAAAAAACTAGAAATAACAATAAAGAAACGAGAAACGCTTAGGAATAAAAACTATAGTATACTTTTTCCGGGATACTCACTCGGAAACGGCTTATCGCTTAATGTCTGGTGCCTGTATGGTGACGCCTCCGGCCAGTTTGTGCAGCTGATCTTGATAATTTTTTTTTATTTGGAATCTTTACTTGTATTACCTCCCTTTTATTTTGTTTAACCCCCAAAATTATCAACAATTTATTTGTTAATGGAGCGCAACCAAGTGAAAAACTTCAAGTTTCTGTTTAAACAAAAAGACATAGCAGACGTTTGCTTCACCCATAGCATTGCTTCAACTAGAAATCCAAAACTCGTGCACTGTTTCCTGTAGCGTAATATCCATTCGCTTCAACGCTGTCAACCACATTTCGAAAGGTCACGTCCCCTTTCTTTTTAATCTGTTTATCCTGGAGCTGGGCCATGTTGGAGTCTATTGTTAACTGACGTTCTTGGTTTAAGAATTTTTCCCCGACAAAAGAATCACAGTACGTACAAAATGGAACGTGCGCCGGACATCTTTTCTACATCGCCATGCCTCAACTCCACTGCACCTTTTTTTCTGCCATACGTAACAGGAGGAGTTTCAGCTTTTCTTTGTCTTATTACGGTGCCGGGAAATTTGCTCGTGGTTTTAGCTGTTTTCATTGATCCCAACAAAGATTTACGTTCTCCGTTTATGTACTTTGTTGCAAACCTTGCCATGGCTGATTTACTAGTAGGACTGGTCACCGATCCTCTATCAGCTTTCTACCACATGAAGAACGCACTTGGGCTACTTGACTACGAAACACTTTATATTCCATCTGTTCATATACCATTCTTCATCTCCTGTACTGCTTCAGTACTAAGCTTGGCCGCGTTAACTGTCGATCGCTACCTCGCTATTAGTTCACCTTTTCGATACAGGGCTAAACTGAACATGATGCGTGCGGCGATGGCTTGTGGTACAGTATGGACCCTTTCACTGAGTTTTCCGTTTGCTTACCTATATATTGGATTCTATCACTACGCCTTTCTCTTTGCTAACACTGCTGTGGCATTGACATTTCTCGTCCTATTGTTTGCCTATATACGGATTTACAAAATATTTCGTCGTCAAGTGCGCGAATGGGACAGACTACATGACAGCACAGAAGAAAATCGTGTCAAGAAATGTACCATGAGATGGGAGCAAAAGATAACCAAAACTCTACTCATCATGTTAGTTTTGTTTATTTCATGCTATTTTCCCGCGTGCGCTCTCATATATATTATCAATTTGTGTAACACGTGTAATTGTGACCTTATTTTGTGGGCTCGTGACCTTCAGTTTTTGCTTATTTTAGCAAACAGCTCTATGAATCCGTTCATCTATTCATGGCGGTTGAGAAATTGCAGAAGAGCGTTTCTGTGGATTGTTACTTGTGGAAAGAAAGGGGGTAAACAGCGCCAGTATGTGTATTCATTCGAAATGCGAAGCTTTCGTCGCGCTTCTACACCCACTCCGTCATAAAGACAAGATACTTGTACTGGCAATTTCGATAGTTCTGTATGTAAAGTATTAAAGCAAATTTAAATGTTTATGTTCAAAATTGGTAAATAAATTCTTATGAGGAGCACCTAGCTGGAGTCGTATTAAAGTCGATCCAGCTTAGAACTGGCTTCTCCCACGCAAACGTTTTGATGTCTATCCTACCAGTAGCCCCTCATTTTCCCTCAGGGATAGCAGGGCGAGCAAAACGAGAACGAGCGTGAAAATCGCGCGCTCGCGTTTCGCTTGCTCTACTTTCCTTGAGGGAAAATGAGGGAATAGTCGTAATCTATTTAAGGTCTTTTAAGGGGAGCTATATTTACCCGGCGACGTTTGAAAAAGGTTTAACTTATTCCGATGACATTTACGTTTGGCAAAGCAGCGTCGGAAACTCATAAGAAGAATGGCATTTTACCATCTATCATAGGATGTAGGGGAGGGTGATGTTAAGCCCTTGGGCTCTTCCCCCGGCCTTACCCCCTCCATTCCTCTTTCAGTTTGTAATATAAAGTAACGGTGTTTTCGCTAAGTTTGAAATAACGCACTGGCCTTTACCCTTTGTTTTCATTCTCATGTTTAAGGAGCTGTTTTCTTTTTTTTCCTAGTATACAGTGCAAAAAACGACAAAAAGCAAACAGAGCGATTTTTAAAATTGGTCACTGCTTTATGGCATATTCTCTGATCCATCAAAAATATATATCAGTATATAAAAAATATATATTACAAACATTGACAAACCGCACTTGCAGCAGTTAGCATAGCTAATCTAGGCAGGTTGTCAAGAAAAAGAAAAAACAAAAATTAACTCAACCTCCATCTTGGTCAACTTTGTACCCAAGAAAACGGAAATTACGGTTTCACGTGAAAATGCCTAAAATAATTATTTTCCTCTGACGCTATTTTTTTTTTTTTTTTTTTAATGCGAACTGCGTTCAAGATTTTCATACATTTACTTTAACAAATTATACTTCCAACAAGAGTGGAATTTATCAGGGACACCGAACGAGTGTTTTCTGTTCAATATCTGTTATAAGAAGCAAAAAATAGCCTACAGCTTGAGGAAGTAAGGAAGGCTAAAAATTCATAGATTACCGTTCCGTTCATGCACAATTTGCGAGACTTACCTAACAGATTCCCCACTATTTTCTAAAGTAAAATTTTTCCCATTTCACTTAGCCTGCGTAGCAAGCGTTTCCAATCGAGTTATTGCACGAAAGTTACCCTTCCCCTCCCCCGTCATTCTTTTTTTTTTTGCTCTTGTCCCAGCTTTCTAGACGAACCTCGCGAGGAAACGCTTGCTACGCAGGCTACATTTCACTCCCCTGGCAGTGGCTGATCCAGACCTTCAGATAAAAGGGGGGGAGGGGCGGCGGTCTAAAAAAATCTTTTTCCGCCCCTCGGGCCTCAGTTTGGTCCAAAAATAAGGGGGGGCTCGGCCCCCCCAGGTCCCTCCCCTGGATCCGCCACTGCCAGGTTAAGCTATTTTTCGTAGAAAAAGAAAAGTTAAAATTTTCGGATTCGAAAAGAGAGAGGGATCAGAAAATTTTTTACTTTCGTAAAACTTTCAATTGCATCTAAAACTTTCGGGAATAGTAATAACGAAGCCCTTTTAATCTCCAAAAGACTCAAGTACTCCTAGGATGATCGAACAAATACAAATTTTATAGCGCCACTTAGAATACATTTCTATAGATTTAAACAGGCTATCTAAAAGCACTCTGGGCAGCCTAAAAAGTGTTTTCAATGTATTGAGGAGGAAACAGTCGTTGAGTGGCCCTGATCTATGACCCCAGATGCTCTACCACTAACCTTCTAAAGACTGTTGGGAGCTAGGGCCATTAAACTACGTATTTAAAAACTAGATTAACGTGACAAACATTTTCGACGTCATTAAACCACCTCTCAAAGACACCAGGGAAATGTTTAACCGGCGACCTGTTAAAATGGCTCCATCACCTATATTCGCGGTGTTCCCTGGCTTACACACGGTAACCACCTGCCCCGCCTAGCCAATTCACATGCTTAAGGGCTTCGTAAGTCCTACGTTTGGAATGGAGAGAGAGAGGAACGCAATATAAGGAAAGATTTTCCGAAATGACTTATGACATGGAGTATAGGCACTGAAAGGGCTCAGAACGTGAGAGTGTTGTCGACGCACGTTTCGGCAAGTACAAAAGTGAATTACCTTACAATCAGGATAAATCACCGGCTTTTAATGTTAATTAAAAGTTAACAGAACTTAACAAAGCAGTCCTACAGTGGCGATGCTATTCGCTAACCAACAAGAAAGGAAAATAGAAGGAAAAGTGATGGGGAAAAAGACCGACTTTGACAACTGGGAAGAAACTCGGTTGAATATAGGCATGGTACTGCTTGCCTGCGAGCAAGGTCTCCTATTTGGGTAAGCGACGTGAGCCTCGCCGGCCCCTCGCGGCTTCGCCGCTCGCTCGCGCGTTCTCGCGAGACTCGCTTCACTCGCCCAGATAGGAGAGCTTCCTCGCAGGCTATGGTACTGTGCGAAAGCTCACCGGACCAGAGTCACGTCTAAGGTGTAAATGTTGTTTAAAATGTGAGATTAGCAAAGACCATAAAGGCTGCACGAACTTTCTTTGAACCCAAAATAAAGGTCAAAAAGCGCAAATCCTAAGCAAACACTTAATTACCCCTTCATATAATAAATAACCACTTCAAAGGACGCCAAAAATATCTGAGTAGAGTAATAGTCTGTAATGAAGGGTCAACTGTATACTAGGAACACTAAGAACAAAAGTACTATAGTACTTCATATCGCTGTGCTTTGACATAATTGTCGTCATTCGTAATTCATTGAACATTTTGATGGCTTTTTCGATCATATTTATGTCAATGACAAGACCCTTAGCGTCATCGAGCTTTCAAAAGAACTCGATTAACAACAGGTGAATGTCAACACAAAGTTGATCAGCCAAGCGTGTAATACCACGAAACACCAGCATTTATAAACAAAAGACAACTAATTTACGCTATGTTAACACTGCCAGTAACATAGGACAAATGAAAACCATCGGTGGAAGGCATAATCCAGTCTTGTTGTAATGAATCAAATGTGGTTTACTTGATTTGTACCCGGAGACCTCCTGACGGCAATCCATCTTCTTTGGTCAGACAGCTTGATTAAGGGCCGCGAAACAGGTAGAGTAATTATAAATGACAACCACTTACGAATGACTTCACAAAAGCGAAGTCGGTTGCTTTGACGAATATTGGTCTTGTCTAGTTTCATTAGTCGGCGTCTCCAGTCTTTTAAAAGTTTCCCTAGGTTAACAAACTAAGACCTGTGCCTACAAGTGCCCACAAGGCCGAGAAGAAAGAGGAAGTACCGGAGAAACTCGAAAACTTTAAAGGCATCAAACGAGTTGTTTATAGTCTTTACAATGTATAACATCGTCTGTTTGCGTTTGCAACGTGTTTAAAACCATCGAACGACAACTGTTGTTAATCAACTTGCCTGTTGAGACATCATACCAGTTTAAGCTGCGGCATAAACTGCCGTGAGTTGTGTCTTCTATTATCGTTACTTCTAGTACTGTTTCACAAATAGTCTCAAGCCGCCAGAACTGATCACCAACGCTATAAACCTTTAACAAGGTTACATTTTACACTTACGCGGTTCAAAGTGGCACTCGCCAAAGAAACCTGACCGAGGTCTGTCTGAATCAATTATCAGTGATGGGTTGATATTCGACTTGAAGGCGCCGTTTATTACAGGTCTAAAAGTTGTAAGAAGCGACGTCTACTTGACCAAAATGAGCGAACCACCATGGAGACACTATGCTAGAGGAATGCTACCATTGTCACCGATAGCTAAGAAAAGTCGAGAAGGTAACTGCCTGCCGAACAAAGGCGATTTTTCCGAGTTGAAAAAAGACGGCGATGGAGAAGAGTACAAAAGAGAGAAAAGGAAAAGAGGCATTGTTGTTAACGTTAAGCCTCATATTAACATCATGCAACAAGAAAATAGTCCTCAAACCCAAAACAGCAGGAATGCAATGCTCAGAAGACTAGCAGATTGTTTCGCGTACAGACAGATGACTGCAAAATATAGAGCCAAGCGACATAGCGTTCTGGGGTTTCATCCACGCTTGTGTACAATACATGAAAATGCATCTGAACTGGCCAATGATTTGGATGCTACCTTCAATAGTTTAACCGCAGACGGAGATTTAAGGGAATTCAATACAAAGACCCCTTCCCCAACTACAAAGGCCGATAACACTTTGTCTACTTTGGAGCGATGTCCAAGCTTTACTTCCTGTTGCCAAACAAACGATCAGACAATTGCAGCGTTACATGAAGACATCAAAGAACTTTGGATGCGGCTTGAAACTGTCGAAAAGGATTTCGCGTGGGCGAGGGGAAGCCTCTTAACAATCAGCAACAAAGATGAGACTAATAAAAGATAGTTTATAATTCTATGATCTTAAGATGAGAAAGTCATGAAAAATATCAAGAAGTTACTGGGGACCAGGAGCCTTGGAAGAACAACATACAGCGATACTAGTGTTAGTCAGTAAAGTTTTTTAATAAGATATAGTTCAATCGCTTTAGAAACAGGAGAGTTTAATTTCTAAGTGAAATCCCTGAATGAGAAGCAATTAACCAATCACCGCGCTTAGAGTGTTACTTAATACGGGGCCATTTCTTTTGAGGTTTGCAATCATGTAGGCTTGTCACAATGAAGTTGACTGCGAAACCAGCTTTGAGAAAGTCTAGTAATCATGTTGAGTTCGCGACCGCGTTATCCCGACAGTTTAATGGACAACTGGCTGAAAAATTAGGTGCTATTACAGCTCATGCGATCAGATTTACACGTAACCCCGAATTAGAGACACTCACCGGTTGAAAAAATTAATGTTGTTTTTTTGTTTCGTTTTCTGTCAAAAGAGTATCATTAATTTTAAACTCGACTCAGTTCTTCTTTCAAACCAAGTAAATCTTATTCAATAGTTAACCCTTTGACGACTGCTTTAGTCGTTTTCGTTCCACCCGGAACGGATGCAACAACGCGTCAGCAAATATAGATCTTTCCAACGATACGTCGTTTTGGATCAGTAATCGGAACAATCCTAACAGAGTTCCACTCACCAAAAACGTAACATTTTTTTTTTGGGGGGAATCCACCACCAATTTTGCTGTTTACCTTCTACTCTTTGAAGAGTAAATTTGTCCCTTTCTTCAAAGCTAAGCAACCACAATTCCATGTAAAAGAAAGACGATAAAGTGGCCAAAAAAATCATTATAAAGATACGCCCTTTTTCGGTTGCAATTCTGAAGTTCAGCCATTTTTATGCTAATAAACCAGAGACCAGTCAAAATAAGAAGAACTGGTAAAAAATGCGGCTTCTTTTTCGCCACTCTTAGGCCGTCACCAAAGGGTCAAAGGGTTAAAAAAAGTTACCAATTTGTTTCAAATTAGCCTTTTTTCATACAGTTTATTAAATTCAGCACGAAACAGGTTTGTAAACTGAAAAAGAAGCAATTCTCACGTTTAATGTTGAAAAAAAAAATCACTCGTTATGAAAACTAAAACAAGAATGACCAATTACCAATTAAACATTCAGCGTCAATTTGAGCTGCAAGATTTTCAGACGGAAACTGTAATTTTGAGTAGGTTAGCTTTTTACCTTGGATTTTCGTACTCAAATATCAACTTAAACGTCTCTTTTATTTATCGATATGTAACCCTTCTATCATTCCTATCCTATTTATCCTCCTTAAATATACCGCGACGAATTTGCGTATGAGGAACCACAAATATATCATCGAGCCCTGTTTAACATTAATAAAATATGCGTATTATTCGGTAAAGAAGTTACGTCATTTGTGCCCCAGTTACAATTTCTATAGTCTTTTATGCACTTTACAAACAGTGTATCAAAGCATGAGTTAGTAAAAATACTGTATCCGATAAATTGCTACAACAACATATGCGGGAAATCTAAACAGTTTAAATTAAGAAACAAGCGCTCAAGAATGAAACTGCCGCGACCGTAACTAGATCGTATATGTAAGAAGAAACACAAATCCGCGTGTGTGGAAATATCCTATTTATTCTAAAGGGAGGGTGGGAACGCTAATTAAAAGTGGAGGCCTTATTTAAAGGAGGGTTCTATGTTCTGATCCGAGCGTTTACGGTAAACTCAACTGAATTCACGACTAAACCATATACGCAAAATAGATTTAATTGTAGCGTATAAAATCGATAGAATGAACGTAGATTTTTTACTTCGCGAATCACTCGTTTTCTCTTCAACACACATACTTGTAATGGTATATAAGAGAAATATGAAGAGAGTATACTCTGCCCCTATACTAGAGGTCTGATTTCCAATTCGGCGCATTCAGGAGCGCCCACAAGCGTCAGTCGACCTCAAAAGCTTGGCGTGTGCCTGTAATTACCCATAACTGATTTTAGGATTGAACTAGAGCTAATTAAAACACTGTCAAGTCAGCTTTTGTCAAAGTTCAAAGTTTTAGGCTTTGCATGGAATGATGAACGTAAGTTAGAGCATCCATGTTATGGCAAAAATTACATCAATTTAAATAATCACTTGAGTTTGCCTCTCAAAGAAGGAAGTACAAGATGTGGTTGATTGTGTTCTCGAATCATCTCAATCGAAAAAGCGTCGATATCGTGGTAAAACGTTGATGGATGAATTGCAAGAGAAGGTTTGCGCTGAAGCCAGAACTGTCTAACATTTGTTGGCATCAGTTGTTTTGCTTGTGTCGTTGGCGAAGAAAATTGTTGATTACAAGCTCTGACAGTTTTACTTTCGGGGCCATCACATCGCAAAGACCTATTGTCACGGTCACCTTTAACTTCAATGCGAGGAATAGATGGAAGAAAACGTTTTGTTCTCCTGATGACATAACGTGATCCATTCAAGTTGTTTCGTTTCAAGGCAGAGGGGCCAAGAACATTGCTGTCGGCGATACGGAATGCATCTGTTATCGTTCGTCTGCACTTAAGATTGTGATTGTCCATGTCAGTTCACAGGCTTCGTTTGAGTTTAGTACACGGTTCTACTCAGTGTGACAGGGCAAACCAATACTGAGTTAACCGTGTCCTCATTGCCATACGCCGGTTGGTCTCAGTAAATCAGCAATTGCGTTTTTGGACTTTTCTCCGATCTTAATCAGTTAACCTGTGCACCTCTTCAGATCAAATTTCAAGGTCTCAAGTCTGATTGATCGCGTGAGTGCTCAGTTTCTAGTACCTAACAAACCTCATGATGTGTCCACTAAAAAAACTGTATCGAATATAGCACAACTTCAGTCCTAGACGGGGTGAGTAAGGGACGAAAAGTACAAAAAGTAGAGTGGTTACTAAGGCTCACGAGAGTGTGCTTGCCAGCCTGTTACAGGCATTCAGAGAGTAGAGCGTGGCGGTGAGTGAGGAGCGAGTTAAATTGTACACCTGGAAAACGAGGGAGGGGGGAGGAAGGGACGAGGGAGGACTAGAGCTGTTTTCTTTTTCTTCTTTGCGAATTTTTCTTCCCCGCTTTACTGTCTGAACGCCTGGAACAGGCTACCAACTAACGTGAACTATGCACGTAGGTTTATGGTTGGAAACTATTACAAAGATATCGCACGCATTTCATTATCCACACATTTGAAGCTAATACAATTTCATTAGAAAGTAAAAGGACTGAAAACCAAGTCAGCAAGCTGACGCTGGGATGACCGGAACTGGCCCGGGCGGAAACCAAACTGCTCCACTTTAATATTAAATCGAGCAATAATACGATAGAGCGAGACTAGCCTGTTAAACTAGCCTGCGGGTAGGGCCACTTGTGCGAATATTCGGCATCAGCGAGGAAGAGTGCCGCCGAAAGGCTTCCCGAATTCGCACAAGTGAGCCTGCTCGCAAGTTAACTAAGTTAGGTCTAACTAGGAAGTGAGACTGTGGTTATTTTTCTTGGCTCTTAATAAAACTTCATTTATATTTAACTGATACGGTGGTTCAGCAAACATGCGGTTGCCACATTTGTCCCACGAGTGCTTTTCTCAAGACAAAAGAAATGCGGAATATTTTAATCCGATTCAGGCATGCGTGACCTTTCAGTCAATTGTGGTATTAGCTTTATTACAAAACATCGCATTAAGGGAATGAATTTTAATTAGTTGGTAGCTTAGCACGGACATTCGCTCAACATCGTAAACAGGAGCGTCATAAATTGAGCAAATGATATGAGTAAACACTAAGAACCTTTATGGTATACGCTATAACCTTTCAGATTACATCAACAGGATGTACCACTTCTATGATGACTATGATTTATGAACTTAGTGATTGCTTTCAACGTTGTCAGGTTTAATAATGAAGTGATTTCAAGCTGACAGTATGCCATACAGAGAATGCTTTCAACGTTCAACTCTTCCAAAACTGATTGACGATCACCGTTCTTTTGGAAAACACAAAGACTGGAGCCAGGCATCGTCACAAGTTAATTCAAGAGAAAGGCTTCGGTTTCAAAGTTATGCAGACAAACTCTCAGGCGGGATTCAATATTGGCATAAACATAAACAGAAGTCGATTAAGCCAGGAGCGTGGAATTCTGCAAGGAGTAACAAAAACCAGCCTCCAGGCTTGTTTCAAAATTCAAAGTGCGCTAAATGCGGTGGATTGCTCTCCGAACAAATCAGTGTTCGACCTCAAGTTAAGGAGCGTCGCTCGTGCGGTTTTGGAAAGGAATACTGCGATGTCATAGGTCCGTGTGCCGATTGCTGCTTAGCAGAGCAACGAAATGCCATAGCTGATAAACAGACGGTTGAGTTCCCAGGTTTGGAGGTTACACCACGAAGACTAGTTGCACCAGCTTTAGTGCAGGTTATGATGGCAAACAACAGCGATAACGTGTCTGAACTCGAGCACAGTCATCAAAGCAAGAGTAGTGTGTTAGAGCTTCCAGCGATTTCCTTTGATACCATTAGATATATGAGGAGAGAGGCAGGAAGCAGCAAACACAAAAGAAAGAGCTTTATGGAGGACCATCAAAAACAGACTTTAAAAAAATACATCGAAATTCGATTACCAAAAATTTAAGGCCTTATGAATTTGAAATGTAATGAAATACGAAGGACAAAAATGAGTAAAGACCAAGTTAAGGATGAACTGGTGAAAATATTCAAGACTTCGCTGACTGCAGAGGTAGTGCATTGTTTTATTACTACAGTTCTGTTTCGTGTGGCCAAAAGATGACCGCACTCATCGGGTAATATGAAAAAAAAGAAAAAAAAGTGTTGTTAATTATAAATAAAACTCACTTTTACCAGCAGTTAAAATGTAATTATTACAATATCTTTCGTAAACGTATTTGACACCACTGAAATATCGTGGGATAAAATCGAAATTCAAATGACTAGTCAAAGGCATGAATATTGCCTTTTCATGACTGTAAGGCAATCTGGTGGTTCAAACAAACAACGGATCAAGGTTTAAGCGCACCTGTTAAAATAGGCGTTCAATTACCGAATTTACTGATTGGTATATCGTTGATTCAGGATCTGGAGACCTAAAGAAAGAGGCATTTAAAGGGACATCGCTTGCTCATGATTTTCAAGGCTGAAATAAGCATTTTATACTCTGAGCCACTTGGCAAACAAAATGACGTAGCAGTCAGTGTTTCGTACGGGCTCCTGACCAGGAACCCCTGGGGGACCTAAGGGGACCCCTATAAAAAAGTGACGGGGATACTCGTCGTATCGCTTTGGGGTGTAAATTTTTGCAGATTTTGGTCTCACTTTTATGTGTCTGGGATGGAGCGTCACTATGTTCGCCCATTCAGGTATCGGTTAATACTGTACATAAAGAAATTTACAAAAAATGCCATGACATTGACAACACAGAAATCTCCCTTAGGGGTTAGTTTAAACTTGAGCCACACCCACATTGGTCTCCTTATGGGTTTAATTTGAATTCTCCAATGAACAACCCCGTCACTTTTAAATAGGGGTCCCCCCCCTCCCCCCCGGCCAGGAACCCATAACCCGGAGCGAGCAACTCTCATTCTAGGCTTATGTCACATCGTTTTCTCTGCCGGTTTACTTTTAGATACATTTTAGAGTCCTTTTTTCCCGTTGAAAATGAAAACCCTACTCCGTCTATGAGCTCAGTCAAAGTATAAGATATGGAAAAGAAAAACCAAACTTCATTAAAGGTCAAAAATACCATTTTCAGGTCTGCAGGGTTTGCTGACTGATTCAGTTGTGAGACTGGTAATATCCTAAGTAATCGTCGTACTTAAATTGGCTTCAAGTTTGATTGATACAGTAATTTTGTTTAATATGATATACAGTCAGCCGTTTTACCCGCTTTGAATTAGAGGAAAGTGATCCTTATTTTGGCGGAGAGGGCCGAGACATGCCTGAATAATAGGGCCCTGATCGTACTAAGCCAAATTTTGTTTGTTTTCCCAAAAACTTTCTTTACAAAAACCATAAAGGCTTCGGTATGGATGAAGGGGTAATATCTGAAGCCAAGGTATGAGTACTTTTTATTTACTGTAATGAATGATGTAAATGGAGCTAAATGGATAGGCAGGTATCATATGCAGTATATTAGTAAAGGAACACTGAGGTTCGAGAAGCGCCTCCTAATTTCTCGAGTGTTAATTGAAAAGCTTTGTCAGTAGCATCATAGTAACATCGGTATATTATCTGACAGAGAAAGAGGTGAAACAGGATGTTTGGGAAAACTTTTCTGATCGACAATTAGAGACCATGGCAAATTGTTTTGCTTGCGTGACAAAAGGTTTTAATCAAATATTGAGTCAACCTCATGTGCTTTTATAGTGTCAATCAATTTTACAAGGTCTACTTATTGGTGAGTCGGCGCCATTTGCACTCTTACTTGCTCCAGATATGACTGAGCCTCCAAAAGTGGTTACCCTTAACGTAGGGGGACAGGTTTATACCACCACCCTCTACACTATAACACAGTATTCTGACTCAAAACTTTCAGAGATTTTCAATGGAGAGAGCAGCGTACCCAAAGACCCAAAGGGAAACTACTTCATCGATCGAGATGGTGTATTATTCAAGCACGTCTTAAACTTCTTGCGAACCCGTAAGCTGGTCTTGCCCAACGACTTTAAAGAGTTTGAACAGCTTGAGATAGAGGCAAACTTCTACAAAATCAAGTCTTTACAAGAAGAAGTCAAGAAAGCTAAAGAATCCCATCAATCTGTAGATTCTGGCCCAGAGATTTTACGACTCTTTTACAGCTCCGGGACAAAGCTGGTGTTAGCTGGCGGATTAGGAATGCTTCAACAACTCGTACCCAATATACGTTTGCTCGGAGGTTCCATTGCAAAAGGTCCTGCTTATAACTTCAGTACTGCTAAGGGGGTTGTCGAGGGAGGGCAAGCTACAGTTCCGCTTAAGTTGGAGCAACTGGATGCTTTTCTCCAACACGTCGTCAACGAGGGCTTTGAAGTCAAGATGTCAGATTTCTTCTTAGATGGTAATGCAAGTCAAGTCTGGGTGTTTGTGCGAAAGTAGTGTCGAAATGCATAATGCATTGGCTCTACACAAGAGAGAATAATTATCATCACTCTTGCTCTTCAAGAATAAGAAGAATTTTTAGTTAGAAAAAGGGACAAATTTTGTACTCAAATGTGTGATAAAGACAAATGAAACTTGTTAGGGGTACGTTCAACTGCCTGAACTTAAAAAAAATCCCATAAAATGCCATTAAGAGGCAACGGAATTCTATAAACAGCTAAATATTGCAAGTAAGCCATGATTTGATTCGCTTACGTTAAGGTACAACTTATAGTTAAGTAATGTTTAGTGTTTTTAATAGTAAGATTGTCGGTTAGTCCGCTATCGCGTCCTCGAGTGCCTGACAGTGTCATCATACATGAACGGGCACTATAACCGTTAATGTTAGGACTGATAGTTGCGCTTAATGTGAAGTGCCTCACACTGATATTAAAAGATTACACTATATAAATCAACAATGAAAATATTGTATTGTTTTGCAGAATAAAAAAAGTAGAATACGGTATTGCAGCGTCAAAGATAACAAAAGGACTCGCAAATGGCAGGTTGTTGATTATAGACTTAGTCCAAGACACTCCCAAATATCCAAGTACTTTAATCTTTTCACAAATATTCTATCATTTGTTCACAGTGACTCAAACCATAATGAGGGTCATACCCTGCATAAAGTACTAATGGATCAGACTCATAGTGGGTCAGGCAGGGCAGCCAGCTGTATGTAGACACCCCTTTAAGAACTTTAACCGTTCCGTTAAATTAATTGTTTATCTTCCTTGTCTCGTAATTGTGTGTTTCGGAAATGTTCGAGCATTCTTTTCCGGCATAGAGAACAACAAAGACTTTCTCAAAGCCCGTTTCCGGTTTCTGCTGGTTAGGCTTATGTCGCTCATCTCAACTGATTTTTTGAAAAGCAACCTAACGAAATTTGCAGTCATTTGAGTCAGAAGGCATCAAAATGCAGGTTTCTTAAGCCCGTTAAGCTAAAAAATCACAGTAACGAAGGAAAACGAAAGGAGAAAAAGAAAGAGCGAGGAGAAGGAAAGGAGTACAAGAAAAAAAAGCAATGGCTGCACTCTGAGTTTTTATAATAGCTACTTTGGAGATGTTGGACGCAAAAGGTTCAGGCTCCGGCTAAGATTACATCCAAGGAAGGAGATGAAACAAGCTCTGTTAAGCTTTAGACGAATAATAGATGTAAACGGCTTTCTTTTCTGCTCACGTCTCTTTGCACCGTCCGGGGCACCGTCATGCACCGTCCCCACGATCTGAACACCTGAAGCAGGCTATCCACTTTATGAAACACGCCTTTAAGACTTGCCCAAGAAAAATCGATCGTATCCTGCATAACTACGTAAGTGGGACAAAATTGAGTCCGCGGTTCATAATTAATAAGTGTAGTTTCAATTTCGGCTGTCGTCATGCAGGAAACTAAGGTCATCAGCAAATTGAATCCCGAAAAGTCATGACAGGAAATCGAAGTATTCATTCTGATCGAACGCATCCCTGCAGAGAATTTGTGAATAGTGTTTTCATTGACCACCCTCAGACAAGAAAGTAACTATTGTAAATAATCACCGTCAGCGAACCAATATTGAGGTAACCTTGAGAAGCAAGCTGTTTTTGTGACTTTGGGACCCACCACCCCTTGGATCTCGCTCTGGGCGTGGGTAACCTTTCGGTAACATCGTGTGACGTTTTGCTATTGTTCACTGACTACCACAGAACCGGAAATCTTTGATGTGGCAAATTCAGCTTGCTAGCGAAACAACCGATGGTCTGTTTTTGATAAATTACAATCATTTTAAGGTAAGTAAAAGATTTTGAACGAGTCGTGTCTTGTTGTATACGACGTTTTGTAATTGCTCACCCAACAGTCACGTAAGATATTCTGTTAGAATTCGGGAAATTAAGACCAGGGTCATATGAGTTTTCTCCGGAGTTGTTATGTGTAGGGTTACCGAAATAATCCCTAATGTTTTATGTATACAGGAAAAATGATTCCGGTAAATGAAATTCGTTTTTCGTCAAGTGACGAAAAGACACAAACATACATGGATTTATGTACCTCTTTATGAATTAATTAGTTTAATGGAGTGTAATAGTTTTAAAATTGATTCTCGTCAGTAGCATGGGCTCCTGGTCTCGTGAAAACTCTATTGCGACACAACATAGGCAAGGTGCTATGTATTCAATCCTAGCCACCTTAGATTCATACACATAGTTGACGTTATTTCACTCCAAAAGCACTTACATTTGTAATGATTTTTAACCCAGGCTAATCGGTTCCTTACACAGGGATATCGCACTTCCTCCGACAACAGACGATTTAAGACTAGACTACGCTAATTATAAAACTGATTTTAAAAATTCTTACTTCCGCTTAATGACCTCAATGTTTTGCAAGCAGGATGTTGTTAGCCAGTGTAGCGGACCCCCCTCCCTTCAGAAAAAAAAAATGAGGGAAGGGGGAGATGGCTAGGCTAGATGTTTTAAACACATTCCGGTATTCCCTCTGCCACCGTTAATAGCAAAAAATCAAATTTTCCTCACGAGGCCTGACCATGTTTTTTCTTCTGTGTTATATAGAAACAGTGTTGTTATGGCTCCGATGGCACAGTATTTTGTTTTACAGGATCCGGCTGCTGCTAAACGAACTGTACCCTTTGAAATACATGTCCGTTTTAGCACCATGTTCAATGCTGTGGACAAAAGCGTTCTTTTCTTTCATCACACCCTACTAAAACGAGTTCGAGCAAAATTATATTCAGTAAAACACGAATGTCAATGGCCATATCAAGAAGTCAATAGCAAAGTTCCCGCTTAATACAGGCTTCAATGTGCCCTCTTCGGGACAGAACGGCCAAAATCCTTAGTCTGTCTAGTAATACGCCATCGTGAAGGCCAAGTTCGAAAGCGTCCCTCCTCATAAATAGCTAGGCGCGTCAGTTGATCTGCTGTGTTATTTTTCGCTTATTAGGCGCATCCTCGATTGTCCAGACACGCAAAGAGAGCTACGTATTTCAACGAAATGTGACGTTGAGCAGTCTATATTAAGAATTGTTTAAATCATATGAGAATACTTTTTTAACTTAGCGACCATTTACGAAAAGAGATAGTCGGTGTATGGTACATATATACCTGAGCTCTATTTATAATCGAGATTCAGAGTAGCCTGAAAGGCTAAGATCTTCGAGAATATAAGTAATATAAAAGAAAAAATAAGAATCAGCAATCCACACGAAGGTCTTAAGGTTGAACTCTCCACGACAGTCAATTTACCATTATCATGAAGATAATTTTTATGACAAAATTGTCCTAATTGATTTTCATTCTGTTCCCCCTGCCTCAAGACAGTCTTGGATTCTGAATTCCACGCTGTGGATCTCGGATTCCAATAACTGGATCCGGATTCCTCGTCAGTGGAACTTGGATTTTGGATACCAACTGTAAGCGGGACTCTGGAATCCTGGACCTGAAATTCGGATTCCAAAGCCCAGTTTTCCGGATCCCCGAATACTTTGCATGGGGCCGATGAATCCTGAGATAGACAAGGTACAATGTCACTGCATGTTGAGCGAGAACGACTAAAACTAAAAAATAACTCATCTCCGAAGTGGAGGTGACTAGCAAGTACAATACTCGCTTTCAAGCAGTTCGTCATCCAGGACGGTTGAAAATGCTATGCACTGGCTTGGGAATTACCACTTTCTATTTTTTTTGGCCCCTCACATAATCGGACCGGGAAATAATTAACCCGTTTTGGACGGCTAGGGTCGTATGCGACCCATATGAAACGATGCATACATTCCTCCCTGAACCCATTTAGCTTTCAGTTGAATTTAATAAATCAGTAAGCAACAACGTCAGCAAAGATAGATCTTTCCAGCGATACATCGGTCTGGGTATTCTGACTAATCCTGACGGAGTTACACTCACAGGAAAGGTAACATTTTGGGGAAAAATCCACTGCCAATTTCGCTGTTTACATACTACAAAAAATTGAATTTGTCCCTTTCCTAAAGAGTTAGCCAGCCATAATTACATGCAAAAGAGAGACGATAAAGTAGGCGAAAAACGCCAATAAAGAAGGAAAAGAAGGGAAAAAAGAGAGCGAGAGAGAAAGGTCGAAATAGATTCGCAAAAAGTCCAAATTTTGGCTATAGCGCAAGCGTGGAAAACAAAAAAAAAGTTGTTTAATTACGTCAGATTAGTCGGAAAATATGCCTTTTTTCTTCACAAAACTCGTTTTTAGCCATTCTTATGCTAATTAGCCGAAAACTAGTCCAAAGAAGAGGAATTGGTGGAAAATGCGGTTTTTTTCGCTACTCGCCGGCCAGAAAGCCCAGGAAGTTGTCAGTGGCATGTGTCTTCATTAACTTAAACCAATATACTTGTTAAAATTTAATTTACACTCTCTCAAAATCCCAAAAAGAGAGTTTGTTAGAGGACGTTCGATGTACAGACGTTTGAATTTGCTGCGAAATTGCCAAGAGATTCTCTCTTGCAAACGGTAGAAGGGTCTTGGAGAAAGTTGGTTTTGCCTTTTAAAACACACAGTTTTATTTACTTTGACACAGATTTAACATCAATAGCTAAGAAGTTAAGATTACGGGATTGATGAAAATATAGTTAAGAGAGGGTTTTTATTTCTTATTTTCTACATTTTACAGCTTCAGAAGATGGAGAAAGCGCAAACGCTTCCATCGATAATCGACATTAACGTTGGCGGCCATGTTTATACAACATCTTTGGCTAGTCTGACCAGGTATCCTGATTCTATGCTGGGTGTCATGTTCAGTGGTCGTCGTCCCGTTGCTAAGGATTCCCGGGGATGTTTCTTTATCGATCGTGATGGACCAATGTTTCGGTACGTCTTAAATTTCTTGCGCTCTTCCAAGTTAAATTTACCGGAAAGTTTTCAAGAATTTGATCAGCTCGTAGAAGAGGCCGATTTCTATCAAATTGATCCACTAATCGAAGCTTTACGGAAGGTGAAGTCCTCACAAAGACCTGTTGCGAGTTGCCAAGTCATTCGACTTACTCTGGACCGAGACAAACATGGACTGGAAACACTGTTGACCGTGTTTGCCGAGGGTTCCATACTGGAAGAGGTTTTCCGGGGACATGATTGTATTGGAAGCTCTCTCATCTTTTCTTTTGATAAAGAACAGGCAGACTCATCAACTGCAGCAATTCTGCAAGAAATAATAAACCATGGGTTTGAAGTGATGACGAGACTCTCGCATCCTGAAGATAAATCCATCAATGAATGGTTTTTCTTTCGTAAACGTCGATGAAAGAAGACAAAATGAACAGAATGAGTCTCTGGGAGAAGGTTTTGACGTCAGTGTGGCATCTTCGAATTTCCTCTCTAGATAACGTGACAACACAAATAGAACTAAAAACTAACACTAACAAAAGAACTATAATACACATTGTAACTATATTTGTCGAAAGTAAAAAAGAAAAGGACCTAAGGACGTTGTCTCGTGATTAGAGACGTTTAGACATGTGTGGATTTTACACTGTTTGAGAGCTCATAACTTTTACACTATCAAACTAAATATAATCAATCTATTCACATTCCAGATCTGATCGTGATCTTCTTGTGATAACATTTATTTATCAAATGGATCAAATTTGCAACTCAACAGAGATTGCACTCAGCCACGTAATGGCCAACTCTCACCTCTGCGAGTTTCTTTATTTCACGTCAATTGCAGATACTTAAGGGACGGTTGCAATGGAACAGCACACGTGGTCGATGTTGTTGTTTTCAGCTCAACCGCACTTAAGGATAAGGATAGAGAACGTCTCCTTCGCAGAGATGACCTTTTCTTAAATTCGCGGAGAATATCCTCTTTCATAAATGCATACAGTAATGGATTTGCTAAGGACGACAGAGCCACTGTAAACAGAGAAACAGTTTCAAGAGTGCCAGGTGCAAGGTGAGGCCTGTTGAGACTTTCGACAGTTGTCATGTAAATGATTGGCAGCCACGATAACACGAATATGATGACTATAGCAAGAAAAACCTTCGCCACTTTAGTCTCCGATCTTACTCTTTTGGACGAAAGCGCATTTGAAGAACGATTTCGAATTTTTTGATGGTGTCGTCTTAGCTCCCTTCCGATTTTGTAGTAGGCACAAAATATAGCAGCGTAAGGAATAATAACAAATAAGCCCATGAGAAGAAAAAGGTACACCTTGTGAATTAGCACATTGGAGTTAGTCTGCCATGTCAATGGCAAAATAGCAATTACTAACGAAGTTGCCCAGGTTCCGATAATCAGCTTTACAAAATAGGCTTTCACTGTTTCTTTGTACTGGAAAGGTTTGGCGACAGCTATGTAGCGATCCCAAGTCACCAAGCAAATATTCCCAACTCCTGACAACAGCACAAATGCAATCAAATAGCCTTCTGAGACGGCGGCTGCCGAGGTGGGGCCACTGAGGTGAATAGGATAGAATACTCCTCCGGTCAGAATGTCAGACACAGCAAGAGATACAAGAAATCCATTAGTATAAGTACGAAGTCGCGGATTTGAGACAACAATCGCACAAACGGCCATGTTAGTGGCCACTATGAGGACAGAAATGCAGATCAAAGAGATGTCAGTCCAGGAAAGTTCGCTCATGTCGGGATGCTTCTGGGTTATATCGTGGCGATTTTGCCGTTAGTGATGCTGTTTAGTTGTTCCTCTATGTTGTTTACTCCTTTGCCTTTGTTACATTGATTGCTTGATGGCAGAAGACGGGCTTTTAATAGTTTCTGGGAGAATTCTAAACAAATGTTAATTTTCTGACTGACGGTAGTGAGGAAATGAGTAATATGAATCCAAACAAATCTACAAGCTAATCACGAGTTCCAATCCACATAGGTTTACCGTCTTATTTGATATCCCGGAACACTCGTTTTTCATTTCCTGTTATCGCTGAAATGATTGTCACTTTCTATGTCAATTTGTACTCAGTTATTTGTCGGGGTTTCACTACTAATAAAAAGGCAAAAAAATCATACCGCTATATTCTTCTTTTTCCCTAAAATAAGCGAACTGTTGAAAGTCACTGTAGCTGTCAGTTGATATTTCAAGGTTAAACTACAATGAATATCGATAAGATGTTATTCAAATATGTCGAGAAATTTTACGAAATTCAAAAAGGCACAAATTGTATAAATAATAAATGAGTTAATTCTGACTATTTCGCCATCGCAAGGCCCTTTTTTGACCTTTTTCCTTTTTTTTTAATAATTGACTGCCTAGACCCCTTTGCTTCGTTTTAAATAGAACCTGCGCATCATTGAGAAAATGGCATCAATTTCTGAGAGAATTATATAAATTGCATGTACCAGACAAATGTGAAATAATTCAAAACAGTGCAGACGAATTACAATATGACTGCCAAAGAATTTTTAATTGCTTTTGTGCATGCCCTGTAATGAAAAGAAAAATAACTGTTGTCTGAATATGAAATTGCATTGATTCTTTGTTCAATGACGTCGAAATATCTCGGCACTTCTTTCGTGCAGCAAGGTGTGGGTTCTATGTTTTAGCTAATGGGGGAAATTGAACTTGCATTACGCCTGCTCGGAGTTAACGCTTCTAATCTAACCTTATTAGATAATCTTTTAACTTGGCATCAAACGGTACGCTTGAGTATAAGGCTATAATACACAATAGCTCGAGGAAATGAGAAGCTATAGCCTAAATAGTCTAAAGAAGATTTTAAGACGTGTGAATTGCATGTAGCGGCTGTGAAATCCCCACCGATTTAAAAATGCTAAAAATATTTGTTTATTGCTGTTAGCATTTAAACTTTGATAACTATTACTTTTGCTTTCAATGTAAAGGTGCAAAAGAGCACGTTCAGAATCCTTTTTCAAAGTTCAATGATAAAAATTTTTTCGGAGTCGGTTGAAATCATTTTTATTTCTTAGTGATTTGTCTAATAACTGAGGACCTGAGAAAAGCCGGAGCTATCCACTTTTAGTGAAAGTGGCAATTAAAATTATGTGAGCTGCAGAAAGGCTTTTAAGGCAATCACACTCTGAGATACAGTCCTCTGAAAAGGGACTCAAAGTTTGAAACGTGAATCAATTGAACAGGAAATTAGGCCGATTTCAAGGCCAAGTTCTTTTTTGGAGGAAATGGATGTTACTTTTTTTGCAAAACATTTTATTTCACTAGAAACCAAGAAACCATATACATGCATACATGTATGATTGACGACCATTAGGACTTTCATGATACCGATTAAATCAAAGATCCCCACATCAAACTCTACACCGCCACCAATATCACATCAGATTTGATCTATATATCGATTCTTTTGAAAGCCGAGCACAGTCTTCTAAATCACACATTGGATGTAGCTATAGGTCTAATATTGTCTGTTTTCTCGTTTCTTCATTTTAAAGCCGTAAAAAGAGCGTAATGGAAAGAAGACAAAGAAAGAAATGAACGATATATATATATATATTTGTCTTAATAAATGTGGATAATAAATTAAATCAGGCCAATGTAAACCATCTTTGTTTTTTTGCACTTCGGTGGGAAAGCATTGTAATATTTATAAAAACAACAGATGGCACCTGAATCAGAAGCGTGTACATCGAGGTATAATCATCACGTCACCCATGATATAAATCAAATTAAAATAGTCGAAATGAAATATTTCATCAGTCTGTGCATTAGTCGCACAATTTATCACAATTCTCTGAATTAAAATCTCCGAGCAGATAAGTGCATTCCTTTGCTTATTTCTCAATTTTGCCTTTACAAATTGTCAAAAAAGTGTCACGGCGGGAAGTAGTTCATGACAAGTACAGAGCAAAGAAACAGTGGATGGACCTGCATCTCTTTTAAAGCTTTATTTTCAATGTTATACTACAACCTGCACCGTCCTTCTAAGTGGGTTGGGTCCTTTATCAACCGTTTTATTTCATTACACCCACGACAGCCCTCGTTACGAATGGTGTAAGTTCGCCAAAAATAGTTGTTTTATGTCTCACTCTCATGTCTTTGATGAATAATTATAATTCCAGAATGCCAAAAATTTAATTCTGTTTACAATATCATTTGTAATTTTTTCAAAAGGTCCCGCCAAGTACAAGAAATGCAGCAGGTAGCATTTTATTCTACTAAGAATTCTTTAAAAGTAGTACAAAAGTGCAGAGAAAACAGGAGGGCTGCGGTGCCCTCGGACCACCGATAAATGTGCAGAAAGCGGAAGACTAGCGATTAAATTCATCTTCACTGTTTTTTTGTCCGTGTTATTGATAACAGAACTTTTTAATTGAATGAAAATTTGATTAGGATCACTTTATTTCCACCTGGGAGTTCTAATTGGCAAGTTAAAATGTGCTCGATTGTAATGTTCCGTTTTCGTTTAAAGACGCAAGCATCTTTTTGTCTCTTTACCTTACACCCACCATAAAACAAGAAAACGATCGAAAAACTATGTTTTTCAACACGGATATTTTTGGAGAAGTCCTCGATAGTAGATACTTGCAAGGATGGGTAAAACGAAGGCGTTGTGAAAAACGCTGACGCCAAAGCTACTAGTGCACGACACGTTCACCTGCTTACATGCGTCGAGAATAAACTTAATAATAAGTTATCTCCGAACTGCGTTTTCGATGGTTTGGTATGGACGGTATAAAACAATTTGAAAACGCTAGTTGGCACGGATCAACAGTTAGCAGAAACAAACGAGCCAACACCCCTATGCATGAAAGTTCATGGCGCGCCCGTTCCATTTTGTCCCCACGAAGTGCCTGGTGAAGTTAGAGCAGGTTTAACTTGGCGCGAAGCCATGTCGCGGGAACAATTCCAGTGTGTATGAGCGCACAGAAACAAACACCTGCCGGGATATTCAACCCAACTATGACCCCTCGTGCGTCCTAAAGAATTGTTGGGTATGCATGTGTGTAGTAGAGTGTTAAGGTTTTATAGATTGCGGTCTGTAATTTAAAGATCACTTTACGACGTCACTACACAGTACTTTGAAAAGAAAGGCGCAAATATAATAACAGGAAGTTTGCGCAGAAAATTCGTTCCTCTGACAGGTAAAATACTCGATTGGAATAAAAGGTCTTTAATTTTGCCAAATCTTTCACTGGGTTGCAACTGTGACAGCTTCCTCCGCTGGTTCATTCCCATTTCTCTGTTCCGCTGGATGAACCTGCCTTTTTGTTACAATTCGCGGAAAAACCCTCTTTACAGCCGCTCGGAAGTCTTCCTTCTTAAAGGAATAGAGTAACGGGTTTATTAAGGAAGATAGAGCCAACGTAAACATCGAAACTGTGGGCAATATGTCAGGCACTATTTCTGGTCTTCCAAGAGCTGTTACGGAGGTCATGTAGATGATTGGAAACCAGCAAAGAACAAACGTTGCAATCAGGATAAGGGAGACTTTAGCAACTTTGGCTTCAGAAGAAAGCCTCTTTGTCTGCTCCCGTCTTGATATTGATATTGCCGTAGTTTCCTGTAACATTCTAAAATGCTCGCGGAGCTTCTTGAAAACTAAAAAATAGGCAATGAAAATCATTAGATAAGGAACGAAGATAAAAAGCAGGATCTCCACAAAAATGTAAACTTGGTGGATTGTAAGTGTGCGGTCAGTGTTCCAACACAATGGCAGCAGTGAGATGACAGTTGCGAGAAGCCAAGCAGTAGCTACCATTTTAATGAAGTACTTGTCAATTAGAAACGAATATGAGAATGGATGGCGAACGGCGATGAATCGATCGAAAGTGATGCAGCAATGGTTTGCAATTCCCGATAACAGAATTACCGAGATAAGATATCCACTTGCCACTGATTCTTGGATAATGAGAATTACCGGGAATAGGACACCACCAAGAAGAATATCAGATATGGCTAACGAAACAAGAAAACCATTGGTGTACGTCCGCAGAGATCTGTTGCTGATAACCAAGAGGCATATGGTCACATTGGCCAGCACGATTAAAACGGACAAAACAGTTATTGCGACAGTAATAAGGGAGCTTTCAGCCATTTCTAATGAACAAGCGATCTGTGGCTTTTCCTTGAAAGTTTGATGACCTGTAAATCCTAACCGAATGCAAACCCAATTGACTATTCAATCGCTTTAAGAAATGTTTCATAAATCTGTCACTCTAAAGACCACAATCAAACAATCGACGTTTCCCAATTATGTTCCAAAAAAATTGATCACTTTTTCAAGAGTGGTTACTGTTTCGTGCAGGCGATGTAGTTGTTGCAACTGGAAAATAATAAATCGTTACTGCATGCCCCACATTGTTTTAAACGCGCATAAAGTATTGCGGTGAACTACAAAAATTGCTTAAGTTTGTATTTGAGTTGTGGTGTTAAAATTGTAATCAGCCAATAGGAAGGCGCTAAAAGAGCGTTTTATTTTGATGAATTGCGAGCTCTTTTTCATCTATCTTTAATCGGTGTTCATGGAAAGTGACAGTTGCAAATCACGGAAGTGCTAAAATTGTACACTTTAGCCGATGAACAAACATCTTGCACTCAGACGAAGACTAATTTAATTTCTTCTTAGAATCGTTTCAAGAAGGGAAAACAAATTGTGGTAGAATTACCATGTTATAATAGATAAAACAAAACTTACTCAGTCTGCAGATCTGTTAACTAACCTAATTTTTGTTCCATAGTTTTCAGCGAATAAGCATTTGGCTATTTTTTAACTCGAAACATACAGAGGCTTCTTTGACTTTGCAATCAAGTCTGAGATAAAGACTTTCTTAACCTTAAAACTTAAGGTAACACAGTTTGCTTCTAGCGTTAGAGGTTTTGGGTCATTATGTTAATTTAGAAATCGCACACTAAAACGAAATCTTATGAGAAAAAGTTTCCATTGAAAAGTGTGATAACAATCTAACAATTTTGAACCGTCTTATGAATGGCTTGATTTTAACACGGAAATATGAAATGTAATACTGCCAGCGGTGTCAGCATAATCACCCTAATGTAATTTAATAAATCATGTGGGTAACTTTCCTTTTAAATCATTTTGGCCAGCTGTAATACCAAAAATATCTACGAAATACAATCAAACCCCATCAAAAAAACTGTATTCATCAAAACCAACATAATAGTTTTTTATTTTGTTTGTTTCTTTTTTTGGCTTTTAAGTTGTAAGTATTTTCACTCAGTTCTGCAGAAGTCTTTCATCAAGTAAAAAGGAACGACTACGTATTGTACAATTAAAAACCAGTAAAAATCGCCATTTATGAAAGGCCATATTATAAGTCAGCGTTTCTGTATTATTCAACCAATTCTTTGTATTCAGCCTGATTTTCAGTCGCCTCGCAGATATAGAGACCTTGTTCAACTGAAAATGAACGCCAGCGTACTGTATTAAATATGATAATTATGTAATTGACAAGTTTCAATTAAAAACGAGCCCAAATTAAAATATTATTTTTGAAGGTTTTGTGTGGAAATGGATTTTTTCGCGGTAAGGGAAAGTTCATTTAATATGACAAGGGGGGGGGGAAATGAAGATATTGAAACTCGAAGCTTGAAATTTTAGCAGCCCCCCTCGCTAGCGGTTCAATTTTTTAGGAGCCCCCTCCTTGGTAGTCGAAAAAATTTCAGAGCCGCCCCCCCCTCCTCCTTCAATTCCTTTGCTCCCCTGAAAAAAGATCGCTAGACTGTATTAAATATATTTACCGTTGTTGTCTTCAATGGTTTATACTATGACAAACTTGAGATACAGTTGTGTTACAATTTTCTAAAGCATTTTTGGGATGAACAAGAGTGTAATAATTACTGAGACTACATTTGTTATATCAGTAAACCACGTGATATAGCTGAGTTGCACAGGTCATTAAATTGTTGAGTTGAAAACCATCCGATCTGTATGATGATGTCATGTGTTGGTTTTGAAGTATACAAATTTTCGGAGCCCCCCCTCCTAGCGCAACAATTTTTTCAGAGCCCCCCCCTTCGGGTGTCTAAAAATTTTTGGAGCCCCCCCTCAATATCTTCATTCCCCCCCCCTTGTCATATTAAATGAACTTTCCCTAAGATTAGGGATCTTATCAAGTAAATGCTTCTTTCCGTGTCGGCGCTGACGAAAACCAGGCTTAATGAACACTCAATATACTGAATATCTCTAAAAAACTTAACTTAATCGAAAGTTTGACCGAGACTTTGTTTGAACTAAGTTTGGCAGAGTTTACGTGGTCTGATCTGTAGTGTTAGTAGTAGTATATATTTTACCGCAGATTTACCAACAAGTGTACGAAAGGGACTAATAAAAAAGAAGAGAGACTGAAAAAAGACAAAAATAGTGGAACTAATTCGTTGCCATATTAATTGGAAAAATAATTATAACAAATATAATTATATATCAGATTCACTATGAAAAATCTGATTGGTCGAGAGTATCCAATCAATTCACAATAGCTTGTGAACTAGACATGATAAATGAAATATCTGCTGCAGATATTGCATTTATCATGTTAATTTCAACGTCTGCGTGGTTACCAAGCCCCTTGGAGTGTTCTCCTCAGAAACAGAATGGCTGAATGTCTTCTTTTGCCTATTGTTTAAAAAGTGTATAATAAAACAATTATTGAATTCGGTTTTCGCATGATGTCATGAATTATCAAAACCTCGTGTCTGATATCATGCCCAACCTCATCCAATAATTGTTTATTATTGGTCGACAGGTTGAGCCTGCTATTGCATAATTTTGCTGTAGATAAATCTAATAAAGTAAGTTCTTGTACACCAAGTCAGCCAATAGAATAATTTCCCTATCCCGATTGGCTATTCCAGATGTGACTATACTGCGCTTTCCACCTAACAGCAAAACAATATGCCTTTCAGCTTTGCTTGGGCATAAAAACTGGGTATAAACTCTTCAAGTGTTTATGCCCAAGAGTTTGTAGACACCATCTAATCTCGTAGCCAGATCTCTCACGGCCAAGGGAAGCGGAGATCTCACTTTTCAGCGTGAGACAGAGTGAGATCTCGGTACGAGATTGGACACCATCGAGATGACCTGAAGAATATCTCCTACCTGAAGCTGAATTCATCAGACTCTTTCCAAGGAAAATAATTCCTGACATGAAATGATTCTGTCTTAGGTTATGTTCACAGTAAGCGCTTATGTCAGGGGGTGGGGGAATAGTGCCTGGGTACCGGCAAACGTTGTTGTGTACACGCCTTGGGTATCCGACAGATACCTGTATACCAGATACATATTTGCCCCATGTTGCCCTTCCAGATGTCATTTTGAAACGCGAGCGTGGCTGTTCTGTCGCACTTTGTAAAACCTGTCGCATTTTGTAACAAAATTGTTGCACTTTGTAATAACACTTGTCGCACTTTGTAATAACAGAAAATCGCACTGTGTCATAAAATAAGCTGTCGCACTTTAAAATAACTAGTTGTACTTTGTAATAAAGTCGAAATGGTTGGTCGGAGGACAAGTAAATCCAATGATAGGTATCATCATCGACAAAAACAATAACAACAACAACAACAAAAATAATAACAATAACAATAATATTAGTTTATTGTTATCATTATTGAGGATGTTTTATGATGACGATGATTATTATTTATATCAAAGCCGCTCATGATAAGGCCACCACAATAACACAGAATAATTCACTCTTTATTTCCAACACCCAGACATAACTTGATTGACACAATGACGTAATTTGATGTCATTATAAAGACATATTATTCAATAATATGACTTTATAATGACATCAAATTACGTCATTGTGTCAATCAAGTTATGTCTGGGTGTTGGAAATTTATTGGCAAAATCCAATTCCGTAATTTTTCCCTCAAAGCGCAAAATAGTCAAATAACAAGGTATCTGACAAAATCAAGACCTTGGCAAACACATTATGTTAAAGAGTAGCAGTGACGTCGTGATGACGTCTTTTGTTTTGATAAAGAAAGATCTGGAACCATCCACCATCTTGGATCCGCCGTTTTAAATTAATTAAGTGCATTCCATCACTAGTTTAGAAATGTTTATTAGAACCTACTAGACATATAAAGTTTGGTGGCAACTTTGCAACCTACTGAGAAGAGAATTATGGGAGTTTCAAATTTTCACCTATGGAGCCAACATGAAAATGAGGCTGAGGCTAGAGTAGAAAATTCCTGATAACTAGCGTTAACGGGCAGTTTTGCTTAACAATTTGCTTGCAACATACAATTCGCTGGTCTTAAGTATTTTTAGCGAACTATGCTCCCCAAATATGGTAACTTTACGCGTCTGCTCAAATTAAAAACAAGCTGAAAATCGGTTGTTTTCACTAATAAAGTTGGGAATGAATTCTCGACATTTTGTGGCGTTTTTGATAAAACAATTATTCCACTCGCGCTTGTTGGATGTGCCGATGATTATAGCCAACTCATATCCAACACGCACTCGTGGAATAATTGTCAATTATAACCCTAATAAAATGTACCGTTGATTTCCAAACTTGGCTACATTTTAACAATCAGAGCCCTTATTTCTTTCTTACAAGTGATATAATAATTGACAAACCTGACTCATGCCCTCCAACAACGTGTTGCGTTTATAGCTTTTCATTCTCAGAGTTTGGCGTTTATGAGTGTCCTTTAGAGACCTTCCTCATTTGTACGATATAATTGGAGGTTCTTTGTAGATCTGTCCTAGAAGAGGCTGGTTCTCTTTCAGTTGCCAGTGTTTCATAAGAATGTTTTTATGGCTAAGAACTGATGATCGTTATTGAATGACAAAGGGCAAAATGGTTTTTCCTCTTGAAGGTTTTTGTTGAAGTACCGCGGGTGAACTGCCTTAAAGTTTGGTTGAAGAAACATGTCTTTGGGCTATCGGTTGTAACAGCCTGTCAAGGAATGATGAGGATTACTCTTTATAATATTTCAATATTTAGCTAGACTTAAAGAACTTGTGGCAACAAAAGGCCAAAAATGCCTTGTTACAACTTACATAGAAGACAGAACTTGAGCATAAACGATGGAGACTGAGATGTTTTGTTAATATCAGTGTACTTAAGATTTGCTTTTCGTGATGGCATTTAACTTTCTGTTATGTGAGCTGGGCCACACTCTGTGATGGCCCATTTTCCGATTATTATAAACGATTCTGTTTCATGTCAGTTCCAGCGCATTCGAAGTTTCCGCAAAATTAGTAGTCATTGAGGCACAATGACGCTGGCAAATGATGTGCAATGGGGAGAAGGACTTTTTAGTGCGATAATAATATTAATTATAAGGATGATGACGATAATGATTGTCTGATTATGATAATAATTGTGGCGCCATTTTGTGCTCGGAGTTCATGTTTTTTGGTTTTATGAAATATTAGTACAGTATAGCGTTCATTCATGGCAATGAACACTAAAATGTCGTTATATCTCTGGTCATATTCCCGCGGGTAATGAAGACGGTTTTCTTCGTTGCCTGTGATACTATATTTTCCTTATAAAATCACCTTCGGCCTGAAGGAAACCTTACCTTTATGGACAACACGATAATACGGATACCAAGCTAAATTCAATACAAACACCCATTATTACCGACTCCTGCTGTTATGGACACTATCTCGTGGTCTTGAGGTCGTCGGCATAAAAAGAGTTGTATTTCACACTGGTCGTTGTAGGAACCTATGTCCATTACAAGAAGGCGGTAACAAGATAAACTCGATGTACGCTGGACTGTAAACTTTCTTTATAATTTACATGAACAACGATTCACGGGTGACCCTATTCGGAGGAATGGCGGAATGACGGAACGGAATGGCGGAATACACGGCAAGTTTCAAGGTGGGTCCCTAACGTTAACTGAACATTCACCGTCAGTCCGTTACAGTTTCCAGTATTGTTCGTTTTTAAATAAATTTTAAAATTTTCGGTTGTTTCTCAGAAAAGAAATAAGCGCCCAGTCCCGAATAAGCGTCCTCCCTTAACTCACCAAAAGTAAATAAGCGCCCTGGGGCCCGTTTCGCGAAAGGTCCGATAACTCGTTGGGCCTGAAGGGAAATTTTAAAATCAAAACCTGTTGAATAGTAGCACAGTTCCAAGCTCGCAAACCAGTCAATTCATTCGTTAATTGATAGTTACACTTTATCATTTACAAAATTATTACAACTTTGGTCTTGAATGTAAACCTGGCAAACATAAAACAGCTTTCGGGCAGGTCCCCGACATTTTTGAAAAAAAAAAAAATGCACAATTTCAAATAAAAGGAATCTTTGATGGAGTAAGAATATTCGTCTGGCGAACCTCGCCGGAGCATCAAATATATGATTGGTCCGTTTCGATCCTATATCATCAGTGGTAAGCCTCAAAACGAATATCTTTACAAAACTGCACTCTGTCGTAGACCTCAGCGTTTTCACCAGTCAGGTGATGTAGTATATGTACAAACAATGGAGTCTTTACTTTATCAAGGCTCTTAAATCTCCACGGAGCTACGATTTCTTAGAACAAATTGAACTCGATGACATTTCAGGAACTACCTCAGCAGAGCATGATAAATGAAATTGCCAATTGCCCTGATCTGCAAACTTCTGCTGGTAAATCCTGCAACCATCGCAGCAGGAAAAGGTCCTTTTCAGCAGCTTGAAGGTTAAAAACATGGCTCCGTTCAACAATGACTCAAGAAAGGTTCTAAACAGCCGCTAGGAGAGAACGCAAAATCCTTGAAGTGAATGAAACTCGAAAATTTTGATGCTGCTGTGCATGAATGGTTACACTTTTTTTGTAATAACTCCTTTCTCATTTGATAAACTATTAAAAAAATGATTGATGAGTTGTAACTGTATTAAAAAATATTGATTCGGCACCAGGTAAACCATTTTTAAAGTCCCCCCCCCCCCCCCCCCCCAACTACACTTCAAAAGAGGTGGATCGACCCCCGCACTTTGAAAACTGCTCTGCGGGCCCTGATTTTCGAATACTCCGTATATTCCGTGTTTTGTTTAGAATATTCTTTTAATTCCGTCTTTTAGTATACTCCGTTTTTTGGTTTTGTAGAATATTCTGTGCATTCCGCCATTCCGTTCCATCATTCCGTCAGTCCGCCATGACCCAATACGGTTACCCATTCAAGGAAATGAAAATGCCTAAAATCCAATGAATCCTTACGGCAAGGTGATGAAGAAGTAAGCAAAAAAATAAAACAAAATACATATATATTTAAACAAATTGCCCAGTGTTTCGGTTTGAAAACAAATCTTCTTCAGCGGTTAAAAGAAAAATGAAAATAAAAGGTTCCGCTTATTTCAGACAGCAGTACCCAGGTCCCAGAAGTTTTTCTTTAAATTTTTCTCCGAGAGAGAGGAAATGAATATTGAATCAATGAATATTGTACCACGCGATAGTATTGTAGTACGCGATACTTTGCAAGCAATTTTCTTCACTGGAAAAGAAAAGCAAATACACCTCAAGAACTGCTGTAAGAGATATCCTCAACGTCCCCTTCGCGACTCTCTTTCTGACACTGAGAAAAAATCTTCAAGAAAAACCTATGGGATCAGGGTATGACAACAGCTGCGGTAAATCATTATGTAAAGTACAATCGTCAATGTCTGGATAGTTTAGATTACCAAGCTGTAGCGCGCTTTGAAAATAGTCCCCGAATAAAGGCCGCGTTCTGTAAATAAGGTACGGCGTTTATTCGAGGGCTGCGTTAAATGGTATTTTTACCTCCACTTACGGCGTTTTATCGAATAAAAACGACATTGCAGTTTATTGGTTTGGAAGTACAGTAAAACCCCAACTCATGATAACGTCCTTAATACGATCCTACTCTTTTTAATCAAAGGTGAGAAACACAGAGGCATTTTGTTATTTCGGAAACCCCGATGATATGGCCACCTCATAATCACCAGCAGACGTCTTTAAAGGCCCAACGGTGTTCGCTTAACGGGTTCTACTGCAGCAGAAAACGTTTGGCACGGGACCCCGGGTGCCCACTTGAGTGCCCAGCTACAACGTCTTGAACTGATACTCGATCAGCGTCACCGTACCCTAATTCTGGCGTGAGGTCTTGATAGATGGTTGCCCTCTAATCAGTGCCCAGCGAATACCTTACTCAGGCATCTTAGCCCGGCACAAACTGTGGGCAAGGCTTTGCAATCTCAGGTTATATACACTTGAATGTGGAGAGCTTTTTCTTTGATCCGAATGAAAATTTGCGTCTTTAATTCTGTCCGAACTTTCAAATCATGCAAATATTTGCAACAACATCAACTGCATTCTCTTTCCTTCGAATTAGAAGCATTTTGTTGCAGTACAGAGAAAAAAAATGTCTTGATCACCTCTAGCCTCCCACGCAGGCGTTTTTTGGGGAGCTCGTTTTTCATCCCTCCTCCTGTAGTTAATTGACAGCAGTAACAGCAAATGTGGCCTCACATCAAAACCTCTCCTTTGTTCTTCACGATTGCGAGAAGCATCTCATTCTAGGTTAACTTTCAACTACTTTCCAGAAGTATTTCTCGCCTAGTGAAGCACATTGAAAGCAAGTGACACGTTCGAACACCTTCACACGATGTATATTCGATGTATGTTCTCTGGACTAAGTCAGTAAATGCGAAAATTGTAAATTATGACGTCACCAAAACCCTCCAAACGTCAGTGGCTTCATAGCTCAGTTGGTAGAGCATCGCACCGGTATCGCGAGGTCACGGGTTCAAACCCCGTTGAAGTCCTGAATTTTTTTTTTCAGGCTTCTTTACGCAATTGCATAAATTGCGTTCACTGCGACGATCATTTCTTCATTTTCAAAACCCTCCATGTTTGGCACGACAGCTTTGTTATCGACATTAATTTATTCAACAGCCGATTGGCCTCACAATTTCTTTGGGATGGCCTCAGCGATTTCATGCGCTTCTTTAGCTGGCAGCATTTTCGCGTTTGAACAGAGCTTCTTTAAAATAATTTTGTTCTTTCGTCTTAATAAAGTAAATAAAAGTACATTTTTTAGACCATTTATTTCATTCGCTTGGTAAAACAATTATTCACCACCTCGTCGTAAAAAGTGGATAGGTTTGCGAGTCACCATTATGCAATTATATCATTGAATTTGGCTTTTGTGCTTTACTTCCGTATGATACAAACTAAAACATATTGCAAATCGAGGTGTTAGCCACCGACGCCGACAACACCATACTTGATCTGCATAATTCCTCACATCATAGAAAAGCCGAATTCAATAAGTGTTTAAATTACTAATCAACATATTTCTAAGACTGGAATCATTTGGAGCATACGCGTATAGTCGGTGTCAGCCGAAGACTCATTTGGGCTATTTTTTAAATTTTTTTTTAAGCTCAGAAACGATAAAAATTCTAGCGAACGAATGCAACGGCTATACCCTCACACTGGAAATGAATTAATCAATCTATGAGCCTACCTTTGCACAAAAAGATTCCTTCCAAGTATTTTCCAGTTTCTCTGGAATTTTATGATAGGAGAGGAAGTTTATCTTGTGTATATTCTTCAAACAGTAGTTAACATCCTTGGAGTCTTTTTTAGTCAGTAATTTGGCTATTTCGTCTTGGCCAAGCAACTGAAATTTTGCAGCTATTATCTCAAACTTTGCACAGCAAGCACATTGAAGGAGAGTGCCACGTTCAAACACTTACACGCAGTCTGACCTCTGGCCACTACCTAACGCATGCGCGCAGCCACATTAGTTGAGCCGCCGTCTTGGCGTGATGGCAGTCGTGGCATAATAAAAAAAAAAGTAAATGAAACGGATTACAATTATTTTGAGTTTTTTTCCTTAATAATTTGCCCTGTCAGTAACCATACTTCTCACATTGTGGGTGGCTTCTCTAAAATCACTCGTAATAAACCTCTTTAACTTGTATGTTTTGTCTTCCCAATGAAGTTCTCAGGGGATTTTTCCCCTTTGTCTGTTCATAAATTATGCGTACATACGCACGGGAATAAGACGTAAGTTGGATGAAACAGTTCCCAAGAATATTATCACATGACGAACATTGGGAAAACAAAACATACAAGCTTATCACCCATAATTGTAATAATCAACCATAAACAAAGAGATAATGAGCTAAGAGATTTCAAATAATTATCATATGGCACAGGGAGTCGCTCTTTTAGTTCAATCTCTCTAGCATAAACGTAACACTCACCATAAATGCAGTAAAAGTCAACCATAAATGTAATACCTACCACAAATGTGATAAAAAACAACCATAAATACCAATACGTTATTGATGAAGCAGCCGGTTTGTTGAAAAGTGGAAGTAGAAAGGCTGTTACATCTCACTTTGCATCGAAACAGAAATGATGGGATATAGAGCAAAAATGGTGCGATTTAAAACAGAAATGATCCGATTTAGAACATGAATGACACGATTTGGAATAGATGTGATTTAGAGCAAAAAATAGTGTGATTCGTGAATAAATCACACTACTGAGAGCCAATCAGATTACGGGGATCACCAGTGATATCAAAATGTATATAATAATTGTAATAATCTGGCTCACTATAAATGTAATAAATTTTAACCATAAATGTAATAAATATAGAAAATCGTATGAATGTGAGTCGTTATTTACGTCGTTATTTGTGAATGTGAGTCTCTACTCCCGTAATATTGCACGTGTGTAACGCCCAAAAATTTGACGATTATGCACAGACTGCTCTGTGTGGTTTCGGCAGGAGTACCTAGGACAAAAGCCTATTGTTTTGCGGAATTTGATCCGGTACAATAGATCATTTCTTGATACGATTTAATTTTTCTTTCATATCTAAATTTGGTAATCCCAGCAAGGTGAAAGTCAAAAGCCCTAAGCAGGCTTTTTCCGAGTTACCCAAGCCCCTGTTCTAAGGCGAGGCTAAATGGGCAGCCGTTGATATGCGCAAGATGATTTAAATAAAACTTATTTCACAAGAAAGGTTTTGCACTTAGCCTCGTTTTAGAAGCAAGAGAATTTGGAATTTGTAAATGACCTATTGCGGAAGAGCAAAACCCTGAAGGACTCTGACAGTAGCAGTAAAATTATGTCATTGTGCAAATTGCCTACCAAACGATTAGCATAAATTTGGTCAGTGGACTCAAGTTTTGAAAAATAAGCCAGGCTATTCAGAGTTATAATGGAGGTGAGTAGTTATAAAAGGTGACAAACAAAGATAAAACAACGGTTCCTTATTAGTAGAGTGGAATGGTTATGAAGTCCGTGAGACTCCTTCGTTACGTGTTTTTGTGGGCTTGAACGTGCGCAACCTTCAAACCATTTCTATCATTAATCTTACTAACCTATAGAAACGTCTCATTAATACATTGAGTCACAATTTAAGAAAACAAAAGACTGTGCACCTTCAGGGACCTTACAAAATAAATTGCAGCACTATTTAAGCCAATCGAAAACTTAAATAATTCGAACGAATAATAAATGGTTTATTATTATTTTTTTTATCTGTACATACAAAGTGACAGTCTCGTCTTACAAAAAAACACATCCTATCTGTTACCTAACCCCTTGGCTACGGGTCGGGTCAATATGGAATGATACAGATTATGCATTTCTCAACCGATTTAGTTTTCAGTTTAAGTGATTAAGTTAGTGAGTAGGGAAACACGGAAGGACAGATCTTTGCAAAAATACCTCATGTGGGAATTTGGTCCAATCCTGCCAGAGTTATACACAGACAACCCACCAACATTTTCGAGGAAAATTCACTACCAATTTCGCTTTTCTCCTTCTGCCATTTCCAGGTAAATTTTCCTACTTTCTTGGAAAGTTAACCAGCTGAAATTCCGTGGGAAAGAAAGACGACAAAGTTGGCAACAAAACTAGATTTAGAAAAGAAGGGAAAAGAAGGATCAAAATAGATTTGCAAGCAAGCAAACAAACAAACAAACAACAACAACAAACCAAGTCTAAATTTTCGCTTATGGGTATGTACCAAAACTAACTGATGAAGCTTAATTACATCCAATTAGCAAAAAAATATCCCAAAAATATTAGCCTGCAGTGCAGTAGTTTACGTCGTACGCACGAATAGTCTTGCTCGCGAAAGCGCCATTTGAAACTCCAATCTTTCTCTGTCATGAAATCAAAGATGGCGCCTACAACAATACCAACATAAACTAGCAGCTTAAGCTAAAAAATATTGAAAACTGTATTTTTAGCCATTTCCATGCTTATTTGGGAAAAACTGGTCCCAAGAAGAAGTGGTTGGTAACTAAAATTTTGAATTCCAAGAGTTCTCTCTTACGCAAACATAATGTTAAAAACGTCTCTGTATGGTACTGTTTTTCCTTCTGAGCGATTCAAATTCGAATTCTGAGATATGGTTAAAATCAGGACGTTAAAAGGTCACTATTCAAAGAACCTTTCAAGAGCTTTTTTGTAGTGTTGTGAATTAACCACAAGTCACAGTTTCTGCAAGCCAGGGGGAACTTTCGGAAAACGACAACCAGGCTTATTGCAAACTGTTAAGTCTTTAGTCTTTGTTTTCCTTTGCAGGAATACTCAAAGGCTTTATTTGTTCTAGTACTTTTTTTTAGTAAACTTTCTGATACTTTTTGAAAAAAAAAAGGGGTACTAGAGGTATCAGTGAGATATCAAATGAAATAATAGATCAATGAAGTAATTAACTTATGACATTCATATATTACGCATGAGCCTGTTTAGTGCCTGAAATTTTGCCTTCATTTGGAGAGAATTTTGTTTCGATCTAATGGCCTTTGAACGCTAAGACTGCTAAGGAACGTTCAGCAACTAAGCATGACTAAGCTCTCTGCCATGTTTTTGTTTTGATTAGGAAAAAATTCTGTTCGCGGATCCAGGCAATTGGTGGAGCTTTAGATCTGTTTATTTTATTTTTTCGATATTTGTTACCTGGAAAAATATGTTTTTTTTCTGTGCTGTATTGTTTCTTGTTGTTGTTCACTTCTTAAGCTTCTTAAGCTCAGACTCTATATATAGAAATTGGTTGGACTTGAGTTTTACAAGAGAAAATAGACAAAATACAGTGTTAATTCCATTTAAAAAATAGAATCGAAAACGACTCATATTGTGTTTTCGTTGTGCTTTTTACTGTTTGTTCGCTCCTAGAGCTATTTTGAAACCGTTTTAACTAGTTTTATCACCTTGCTCAACAAGCGAACAGACAGTAAAAAACACAACACAAAAAAACACAGGGTGAGTCGCTTTTATTGCTATTTTTTAAAAAAGGGAATTAAGAATGTGCGTTGTTTATTTTCTTGCGTACATGCTCTTATGAAATTAAGTCCAACGAACTACCATAGAGTCGGGGTTGTATGTGCCCAATCACCCTACGGTGGCTAATCTACTTTATTGCCTTGTCGGAAAACCAAAATATTTCGATATCACAGTTAGCTAAATTAAAAAGGAATCTTTAAGTCTGACTTAGAACACTGTATTGTGAAACAACGTTTAAACTTCTGAACATTTGATAACTTGTTTCCGTCATTAAGACATTCGCTGAAACCCGTAGTAGAATGAAGACAGCTATCATGTTTTCCCGCGCGCGCACTACTTAGCATTGAGAAAATCTCGTCTTCGTAGTCGTCCTCGTCTTAGAATCTAAAGATCCCTAATAAGACGTGCAACGACTTAATCATTTGTTTCACCTCTGATTTAAAATAATAGGCTCTATATAGCTCTTCACATTCCTGGGAGACCTTGGAGTAATCTGGAAGCTCACTGGCATACATGATAATTTTCTCATATAAAAAAAGATAAATTTACCTCGCTTACTGCCAGTTTTTATGTTTTCCATGTGTCTCATCACAATGACCTAGCACATGCTCAGTGATGCCATTTTCGTACCTTAAAACTTAATTGATATTACCAGCATATGGTATAGTTCTAAAAGAGTGAGGCATTGACTAGGCAATTTTTACAGATATATATTATATTAGTGGTGCAGTCGTCGATCACTGATCAGAATCTAGGATCCGAAGGGTTTTTTAAAGTAGTGAATTGCTATGAATAAACAAGGCAGCCCAAGAAAACCGCCGTCTATATACACACTAACCCCTTACAGTGACGCCATTGGCGGTGACACCTGTGTTTTCAGGCTGTTATAACCCTCTAATGATTTAATAGCATAAAAAAATTGAAAACATGATGGGGCTCCGACTTTCATTCAATCTTTGTATGAATAATTAAAGAAAAAGTCACCTTCATCTTTGCGTTTAAAACAATAAACCATCACTTATATCCATCACTGGAGCTTCATTACCATAAAACATAAAAGACTTTTATGCACTGCGTCTTCTATTTCAAAACGTCTTGATAGTAAAACTGCATCGATATCTTACAGGATAAAAGGTACTTATAGAAACACTTAAAATATGTGTGGACAGTGTTAGTTAATTCGTGAGTCAATGTTATAATTCAAGAAGAAGAAAAGTTTTCTATAGAAGCATTGTTCGAATTGTTGTCTTTTCTTACAGAATCATCACTTTTCATCTTATTCTGTTGCTCCGTTAAACTTTCTTCATATTTTTTTCCTGCTCCAACAGCCAGTGCGGCAAGTGGTAGACTCCGAATGGTGGAAGCAGTGTTCGTTTTAGTAGTGTTCTGAAAGCATGTTCGAATGGCCATCTTGAAATCCGGCTTAAGAAATGCGTACATAAGCGGGTTAACTAAAGAACTCGTCGCTATGGTAAAAAATGAAACAATGGGCAAGGAATAAGGGATGATGTCAAGTCGATTTATAATGTCTGCGGTTGTTATGTAAATTATTGGTAGCCAGCAGAGAATAAAGGCTGAGGCCACTATGAAAAACACTTTGGCCACTTTGTAATCGGATGAAAGTCGTTTACGTTCACTCTTATGTACTCTTAAAGAAGATTCAATACTCTTTTTCATCCTTAAACTCTGGCGCACTTGCTTGAACATTTTTACATAGGCAAAAACGATGAAAATGTAGGGAACAACAATGCCAAAGAACTGCAGGCACACCATGTACGCTTTGTGTATTTTGAGGTCAGGGTTCGTGTCCCAAAACAACGGAAGTAAGGTGTATACGGCTGGAATCAGCCATGAAAGTAGCAGAGCTCTTTTGAGCATCTTTGGTGCCCGATACGGATATTCCAATGGCTTTATGATAGCGGTATAACGATCATACGTTACCGCGCATAGATTGGCAACACCTGATAGTAGTATCATAGAGACCACGTAACCTGTCACTAAAGATGTTGGTAATACGAGGTACAAGGGAAGTAACACTCCTCCAGTCAGTATGTCGGACACGGCAAGGGATACCATTAACCAGTTTGTGTTGGTTCGAAGTGCTTTTCTCAAGTATACCAACAGGCAGACACAAAAGTTTGATATAACGATGAGAACTGATAAAATACTCAGCGAAGCCACCACGTAGATATTCTGTCCCGTTCCGGCCATGCTTCTTCACGGTTTACGTTAAAAGCAGTTTTATGCCTTCAGTTGCCTTCCTTTTGCTTTCACCTTGTCGTTTAACACAAACAACTGTTTAGCACGTTCTCTTTCTTCTCAATCATCCTTGATTCGTAGATGGTTTCAGTGACAGGACGTTGATGGATCCATAGATAACAGTTCCTTGTTCGCTTGACGATGTTTTTGGTCGCTGAATTTTGCTGTAAACGTTAAAGGTTGACGTTGTTTAATTAATCCCGCCGAGCTTCGAGCTGTCGTTTGAATATAGTTGTTTTTACTCTGTTATGAATAAGCTGTCGTGTCCCTGGAGAGCTTATTGTTATGACAATGCCTCTTTCACTTAGACCGAATTCGAATTTTATCTTGGGATTAAACTTATGACTACTGAAGTTGCATTTTCAGTCGAGATAACAATAACAATAGAAAATTCTTCTAGAATTTGTACATTAAAGATATTTTGGGTTACGATACCTTTTGTCACGTTTTGTGCAATTTTTCGGTCCTTAAAACCAATTATTGTTCAATATACGATAAACATGGCGATAGGAAATGAATCTTAATTGCTTCTTCGAAAAGAAACCGACCAAAAACTTAGTGGTGCTAGGCAGTCATATAAACACGAGATAATATTTACTTTCTTGACGAACGATTTGAAATACACTAAAGAGCAATTAAGATTCATTAAAGTCATACAAAGCCATTTTCAGCTGGAATGAGCTTCAACAGCAAGTAGATTTATTGCCGCCACAACTAAGCCAAGGTTACTTTGCCTTAGTCGACCAATTGATCGCGTTGACCTGCTGTAAAGTTGTGATAACAATTAAAATCTCTTAAAAACTATTTTCTTTTTCTTTTAGATGTCTGTTTCTGGGAAAGTGGTTTCTGGGTATAAAATTAGATTGAATCATTTGTTTTAAGATCGAGGGTTTTGCTGATAACAAAGTCCCGATAATAATAGCAAGCGTCCAATTGCACCTGACGAACTAACTCAATGTAGTTATTTTGAAAATAATTAAATATTTTTGAACGCAGAATACAGCCGTCGTCCATTCTGACCAGAGAAAGGTATTAATTTGTAAAAAGAGTCCATAAACGTCAAGAGATCCTTTTCATTGGGATTTTGAGTGCGTTGACAAAGACAAAAGCTAATACAGTTTGTCAGTGAGCTTTTTCTTAAAAGAAAGCTATTAAAGCCGATTTTGTCTATACGCTCCTGGATTTCGAGGGATATCTGGTTGGTAGCCAGGAGACTGACATTTAATAAATATAGAAATCTCATTCATTCGCAAAAATTAATCTTACAACCCTTTTCTTTCACCACCAACGGTGATCTTTGTAACAACTGTGTATTAAAAAGTAAAATTAACAAAGTGTCGTCTTATTAAACTAGAACTCTATCACGAGCGAACTGAGAAAACAGCGACGGTCACTTAAATTTCAATTCACAAGAATTAAGTGGTAGCAGAGAGTCAGTTCTTTTCTTGATATTGAAAAATATCCTGATGTCTTCACCTTTTCTGCGGGTAATTAGTCAAAAGCCGAAATATCACTTCTTTTATTTATTCAATAAGTCTGTGATTGTTATGCGGATGTGGTAATTTCCAGAGCGGTGGTCAATGTTTGTAAAACAAATATGGTAATATGGAGAAACGTGACTAACAACTGGCAAGAATCAAATATTAATTCTGTTGTTTTTGTTCGATAATATGGATGTACGGAATTGCCTTCGTTCCCAAAAGTGGCCGGAAGCAAGTTAAGTTGACTTGAGTCTCATGACCCAAAGTTTACACTTAAATGAATGATTTAGGTTGATAGTTCCTCGGTAAATCAATTTCCATTATTTGTCTTTTGTTATTTTTATGCAGAATTTTTGTTTGATTTATCCGCTTTAACCAGAGTTGACTTGTGAATCTCAAGCATAAAAGAAGAGAATTTTGGACTATAGTGACTTTTACATTGAACTTCATTCTAAATTTTGCACTCGACAAAAGAACTGTGCGTTCTTACGCCCGTAAATGCGTGGAATTGTGAAAAGGCGTAAGAATTAAAAGAAAGTCTTGAACGGGCCTGGAAACGAAAGGACAATAAAAAACTGGATTTGCACGTGGCCTGGGAACTAAGTGTATCCTAGATTCACTTACTTCCAGGTTTTCTAAAGTTGTGAAAGACAACTTTTTATTTGTATTGTTTATCGCTTGCGTTATTTTCTGTAATAAGAACTCCTAATTAACTAGCCGGATTTCTGAGAACTTCTCCGCTCTTGAATAAACTAGTAAGTTCTTTTATCTTTTTTTTCAGTTTTGTCAGGAGCCGATTACTGCTGGTTTTGTATGCTCTCTAAATTAAGCCTGTCCATTTACATTTTCAGAATGAGTCGTTTTGTACACCGCAAATTCAGTGCAAATATATAGTGTATGTGGCCATTATAGAATAAAATAGTATGTATAATAAATTCAATTTTCAAATCAAGGACCAGCTTACAAAAAAGAAGGACCGGATCCTAATAAAAGATCTAATCAGCTATAAGTGAAAATATAAAACAAAAGAAGCAAGGCTGATTCAGTTACAGTCGGGAATATATATATATTTACCAATATATCGGAAGGTACGGCCTTCCTTTTTGAGGGTCTTACATATGATATAGAGGTTAAGCTAAGACGTTACAATTTGAAAATTAAAGAATAGCGTGCAATATGATGCTTTATTATTCATTCAAAATATTTCCCTCACTCTGATTGGCTAAAAGCACGCGTTTAATTCACCATAACCACTTACTGATGACCAAATTTGGAAGAATTTTGTATTTAGCGAGGAAATGACGTAAAAAATGCAGCGTTCTCGCAGATTAATGCACCGTTAACCGAGAAGACCTGGGGACGAGGTTAAGTTGTCAGTTTGGTTGTGAACTTGAAAATGGCGGACATTTCACTCCTTTCAAGAGTAAGAACTAGGCGAAAAAATGGCTGAAAACATGGCAAGAACTGCAAGAAGACAACTCGAAGGGCGTCATCTGCTATTTGGAGAATGTTTGCGGAGCTAAACAACCCGAAACGTTCACTATCGAAGATGAACTTAACATCGATGGATCGATGGAGGTAAGCATGTTTTAGCCATGTTTTAAAACTAGGAATTATATTGAATGAATAATAAAACAATTATTGAATTCGGCTCTCGTATCATATGAAGAATTATGTAGATCGAGGAGAGTGTTATCCGTCGAGGCCGTAACACCCTCCTCGATCTCCGTAATTCTTCATATTAAGATACTCAGCCTCATTCATTAATTGTTAAATAATAACACGTGAGAATTTAAATGAAAAACCGTTGAAGTAGTGATGGGAAAGAAATTAGAAATGTAAAAATAGTATAAATGAATTATAACAAATAGAAGAAATAAAGGCTGTATGATATTTCATCTTTCTTACTCATACCTAATGGTTCAAGAATTTTACCTCTCTCTCTAGCTTTTCGCACACTGTCTCTATAAGATTTAATGAGCTCTAGTGGGACAAGTGTGATGTCGTTAGCAGAGTGATAATTAGTAAGAAAGTGTTTTGAGACTGTGGTGGTTTTAGAGATATTAGATGGGTTGTCAACTGGTCAGCGCTGCTCGTTGAAGCGTTCTTTGAGACGTCGTTTGGTTTCACCTATGTATTGTTTGGAGCAGTGGTTGCTTTGTATTATGTAAATGACGTTTTTGGAGTTACAGTCAATGTTATTAGTGATAGGTCTGGTTTCGGCTGTAGCGTGGAATGTGTATGAAGTTTGTCCGTCAGATATGTATTTACAAGTGAGACAGTTTTTCCGTATGGGTATGAGCCCCGGGGCTGGTTGTGTTATGTGAGATTGCAAAGTTTGGCTCTAACTAGAAAATCATTGAGGCAAGCTGGTTGCTACTACGTCTGTAAGCTACAATCCATCTCATCCATTATTCGCAAACACTTTCACATCCTTATTTCATCCCCCCGTTGCTATAACGTCTTTAACACGTTCGTGGTCGTCTCCGGAAGTAAGCAGTATATGAAAAATATATATTCTAAAGATCTAAACTTTAATTCTGATCGCCTGAAGGTTCACGACTCTCGATATGAAAAGCGAGCCAGTCCTATATAGCTCGTTTTTTTTTATCTTGCGATCACATGACTTTGCTCGCCTCTCTAAGGGCCTGAAAGACGACTATCATTCTGGGGAACACTATATGTTTGTCTTAACAATCTAGGGAAAAATGATAACGAAACATGACCCGTTGAAAGCAATTTTCAACAAGAATGTCAGTAAAACTGTGAAATTAAAAGCGCTACCAGGTATTTATTCATCCGGTGAAAACTTTTTTTAGAAGCCGTGGTTAGTATGTGAGAACTGTCATTCCGGCCGGCACAGATCACAAAAGGTGCAATCATATAGATTGCGTATATTAGCTTTTCTACAGTACTATGGAATCCTTCCGTTTATTCCTTCCTCGTGGAGAACAAACGAACAGACAAACAAACAAACAAACAAACAAAAAAAAAAACAACGACAACTATTAAACCGTAACCCATTATCACTCATTGTTCCTCTGTTCCGACCCTAATAGTGACTCGATAAGATGCAATGCTCTGTTTCATAACTCCTCCCTTTGGACGAGTTATCTCGCAACACAACAGAAACGAAACTCATACAATAATGGAGAACAAATAACAGCCTGAGCAAAGTTTGCCTCTTTTACCTATCAATGTCACAAAGAAAACTAATAATGTTCCAGTACAAGATCACTCATCGTATTCTGCCCACATAAAAAGACTAACTTGACCTTCTAAACCGTCCTTTCAGTGATCTATAGTTGCCCTTCTGAGATCTATTACTATTTGGCACTTTAACATGTGGAAACTAACGAAATAATGTTCCGACAATAATTTATAATTCAGAGTTTATAAGTTTGAGGTTAGAATTTCAAGACTTACAGAGTAAGTCAAGTAACTCTAATTGTCCTTAGTGGGAGAAAGACTGCAGTTTTCGAATTTGGACAATTTATATGGTTTATTTCAGTCTTCTCGTCATCATTTTGCACTAAACCATATCATCATTAAAGAAAAATGCTATCTTTAAATCAACACCGGTATTAAACATAAATTCCAGTTGGCGAATTGATATCTTTAGTTCGCGACAAATTAAAATTGCGACTAACTCGGGAGTCGGGGGAACAAGATAAATGAATAAAAATGGCATTTTTTACAAAATATTTCGGTATTTATTTTCATATATTTTTTCGTCTCCTCTTAGAACGTAACGTAATTCAAAGGATAGAACAGATTCGCCATTCCCATAGAACTCGTTATAGTACCACATTTGTGTCTTAATCGAAGTCAGAATGCGTTGTAATTTTAACTACTAGTTTTACATGTGATCTTTATCCTCTCTTGGTTGTAAGTAAGCGCATAAGTTAAACGATAAACCGGAGAAAAAATACATCAGGGTCTCATTAGGCACAAAACCAGAGTTGTCTAAAAAAAGTGGTTTCTCAGTGTCTGTGCAGCTCTTACCACCTTGCAAGCCGAGAAATGCTAACTCTGACCCAACTCTACCAAATGACTCCTCAGAAGTGAGACGTGAATTATTTGAAATCCTAAACTGGGGAATTCGACTGTATATTTACAATGACAAAAGAAGCTAATCTTAAGGTTTTGAAAAGAAAATAAAGACAAGATGGAGTACAGATCTTCAGAAATCTAACTTGTATGAAGACATCAGTAATTCTGTAGTTTACAATTATCTTATCAATTTTTGTTTTCTGAGCATTAGATTGCTCGGGTCGATTGTTATTAGCAAGAAGCTGGGTCTCTGTTTTCATTACGTCGTATAGGAAAATTCTACCCTAAAAAAAGAACTTGAGCATCTGCTAAATGTATTCAATACTTCTAATTAAACACAAATATTTAGAATTTTTATTCTAAACGTGGCGATGAAAGGGCAATGGAGGAAACCTCGACCACCCACTAAAAAAACATTATCATCAACGAACCGTACCGCGATCACGTCTAGGCAAATCTGGAAAGATAAATGACCCTATTTAAGGCAATAAATTCAGATAATAACTAAAATATTCGTATATATTGGCGATGTTCTGCTGCAGGCTGTGCCAATAACGCCGCAGATGTGCAAAATTGCATAAAATCATTTCCCGTACTTTTCTCAGACGTTGAAAGATTTGACGAAATTCTACGGCGTTAGGGGCCGACCATTTAACTCTTGAGGGGGGTGGGTGATTTTGAAAAAAAATTTCCTGCAAGCGCTTGTCGGAAGAAAAAAATTGCATGCAGCACAAATGTAATAAAGAGCTTAAGGGAAAAAAAGGGAAAAAAATATCCTGCCCACCAGATTGCTAGAAAAAAAAATTCTTGATGACCAGAAATCACCCACCCCCACCCTCAAGAGTTAAATGGTCGGCCCCTTATTAACACGATCATATGTTGAAGTATCTCTAATTGATTCAACCAATCGATTAGAACTATAGTTTATTTACCTTTAGTTTTATTTTTTGTTGGGTCAGTTCCAATAAACACACTTTGTAAAAACATTTCTTATCTAACAAAATTAGCACTGATTACTTTCGTAGTGTCAGTTTCAAGGTTAAGTGCACATGCGCTGTTGCCCATTTTCTCTCTGATGTCAGTGCAATGTTATCATGTCTAATCTACCGTTTTATTGCATAACTTCTGTTCTCTGATTTGTCTTTATTTTCTCCACGATATCAAAACAGTGTGGTGACTGTAATGAGTGCGGCCATTAGATATAACCTAACAGATATGTGGGAAAGCTTTTAAAACAATATAATCAACAGACTCGTGAGGTAGCGTTCCCAGTTCGGCCAATGGAAAGCACTCAATTTTACACATCTGTTTCTTGACCGTGACTGCCAGTTTCTAACTTTTCTCCAACTGACGTCAAGTTAGTAAAAATATGGTTTTCTTGTTTGCGTTTTAGTGTCGCCTTTCGGAATAACTTTTTCAAGATGCGTCGAAAATCCGGCTTAAAAAAGGAGTAGATTATCGGGTTAACCATGGACCCAAGTGCAACAGTAAACAGTGAAGAATGCTGTAGCCACAGCGGAGACAGTGGGTCTGCTAATTTTATGTCGTGTTTAACAGCAGCTAGAACACTTGTAAGATAAATAACTGGCAGCCAACTTAAGATAAAGGAGAATGCGATGACGGAAAACATTTTGGCAACTTTTGCCTCCGAAGACGGGTCTTTTGAGATTTTTTTGCCTCTTTTCCTGTCCTCGCTCCGCCAGCTAAGACTGCTTTCTCTACGTATTCTTTGAACAATTAACCTTGCTTGTTGATAAATCTGGTAGTATGCTGTGAAGATAAAGATATATGGCACAATAACACATAGACCCTGCATCAAAAAAATGTATATTCTGTGGGCAGAGAAATTCATTGTCGATAAGTTGTAGATAAGAGGTATGATGGAGATGACCACTGGAAGTACCCAACACGCAGCAATCAGCTTCCAAAAGTGTTTCGCCATGACAGCATGATAAATAAATGGCCTTTTTATTGCCAGATATCTGTCGAGAGTCACTGCACACTGATTCGCAACCCCAGTTAGCATAATTGCAGAGACTATGTAAGCTGTCCCATCGAACTTTACATCTGCAATGTACAATGGTAACACTAGAGCACCTGTGAGAATGTCTGACACTGCAAGGGACACCACTAATCCATTTGTGTAGGTGCGCAGGCTTGTGTACAAGTAAACTAGCAGGCACACACAGCTATTAGTCATCACAATGAGAACAAATAAGACCTCTAAGGGAACTGCGATATAAATCGGACAACTCGGTTCCATTATTGGCAAAGTTTGTTTTCCTCTGGCGACGCTTCGAAGTCCAAGCTGAATCACGACTCTGGCGCTTGTAGAACTTGTATAAAGGTTCGCCACAAAAATAAGATAAAATTCATACTGTCATTGTCAGCAAGCTGTATCAGAGGCGTTAAAAAGATGCATTTTGTGGCCAACTTTCGACGACGTTTACTTTTCAAGTAAAAGGCTTTTATAGGCAGAGATGATTATAGGCTGAGTGAATCTTTTGAATGTCCCTCATTCCGCGAAGTTTCCGTGATAAATAGATTATAAGCTACTTAGCGGAGTAAAGGTAACACGGCGAACTATGAGAACGTGTTGACTGATCCGGAAAGATTTTTCGCCCTTGACAGTTTCCCTCACAAGTACTTAAGAGGCATCAGTGAAATCTAAACGTCCCAAACTAGTGGCATTACTACAAAACCTTTGAAATTTGGAATTTCAGATGCTCCTCGAATCCTTACAGTGAGAACCTTTTTCTGCAAGCGTAAAGCAGAGTTATTCAGGATACAATAACCCATTTTGTAGGCACTATTAAATTATGACCGGTGATGAATTAATTGATGACAATAACTTGAAAATAAACAAACGCTATTGTTGTGTTTTACATCATGAAAACATTTTTGAAGGTTTATTTAACTGTTACCTAAGTGCTGGTCAATGGATTCTTGTTTACCGCAAAAAGGTCAAAACAGTCCATGTAACTTCAAGTATTTCTTGATCATTACATTCCAGTTGCTTATGAGAAAGACATTGCGCCACACAGAAATGTACCTTCACTTCACAAAACGTATTTGCAGCCCAGTAAAATTACTTATATTAATAAATCTCTCTTCTGTGTACTTCTGTGATCTTTCGCCTTAATTGGATCTAGAACTGAGGATGAATTACTTTTCCCCATAAAACCCACCAGGAAATGTGACCTGCAAAGAGTAACGTAAACTTTCTAAAACCCACATATGTGGAAAACACGCGAGGACATTTTTACCCCATTTTTCTGTTTATGTTAAGCATTTTTCGTGTTTATTGTATAAATTCCTTAATTAGCCAATTGGTTCTTAATCTGAGGCATGATATAGATTTGCTCAACATCTGAACTGTTGCTGATAAGTGATCTATTGTTCCAAACGAATTGAAAGCATGGGGTCTCCTTCAAGGAGATTTACAGAAGTGAGATTAACTTAACAGGGCTTTGTAACGATCTAAACCGACGTTGTCAATGAAGCAATCTTGAATTATATCCTATTCACTACCGTTAACTTCTTTACACAGTAAATGAGCCAAAACAAAATGTGTGAGAAAGCGGCTTCAGTGCAAGACTGATTTGTTTGTTGTTTTTAAAGACCACGGATATGCTTGTCTTAAGTCCTTAAAGATGCAAAGAGGCCGATAATACACAAAGGGGAATGATAATTGGCTTTCCTCTAAAATAAACATTATCTTAAAATCATATCCACCTCATTCATCTTTTTTATCATTTCCTTTCAAAACCGCGCATAACATAGATTGCGTGTAACTTTTCCAAAGCCATACTTTCAGACTAAAATGAGTGGGCCATACTGAAAGTGAGAAACTGAAGTGGGTTAAAACAATAAACCAAAATGTTGTTGCCGGCCTTTAAATAGCAAATGGTACCACGAGTCATTATAGAGTCGCTGCCGTGCAGCTTAAGAGTATTGCAAGATAAAAAAACTATGTGCGACATCTCCTACATGGGATTAAATTCTGATAAATCACCAAGAATCGTTAGCGGAAGAGCATTTTTGTCCAATCAGAGAGACAGCTCAGAAGAGCCTTAAACTATGTAGTATAAACTGGGCAGATGTAGCCAGATCCTACATAGTTTAGAACTTCTCAATCCTTATGCATAAGTTTAATGATAAAATAAAATCTTTCATCAGTTAGTGAAATGTCTAAAAATCACATTTCCTTTGGCGATAATACAACGTCACCATGGTTTTAAACTAAAAAAAAATATTATTTTAATTGACGTTTTCTAAGTTCATACTTGGTGCTTTGGTAACACCGCCGTTATGTATTTTATTTACAAATGTAAAGTCACTGCATGTAAATAAAGCTTCCTGTTGTTGTTTTGTCGCTGTATGCATAATGAAGACCATGGGACGTTAGCTCTTTTGTTATCGCCAAGAGGTCTCTGCTAGACAGAAATGAGATGGAGAATTTTAAGCCTGATGAATACATGAAAAAGATGATTTTTCAGTCAGTGACTCAGGCAGCTTGAAAAAAAACTGAGTACTCCCAATAGGTGTTGAACCTACATTGAAAATTAAAAAGATCTTTTTCAGCCCCAAGTGCCAATACAGCCCTGTAGGCTGAAGTCTGATTCAGCACCTCCTGGAGCTATTTGAACACAATTCAAACCAAAACTGTCCAATCAAAAGGCTATTCTAACCAGGCTGGGGGCTATTTCAGCCCTAGATTGGCCCTGATTTAAGGGAGCCAAATTAGATTCAAAAATACGACTACATTTTAATCACCGAAAGGCCCCATTTTTAGGGCTAAAACAGATCTTTCCGAGCTTATGATCTTCTGGTTACTATATAGCCCAAATGCCCCACCACCTTGCTTATTTGATTTGTTTGGATGGAACAGGCGGATTACGGTTGTACGACAACCTAATCATGAGAAAACCACAAACCAGTCCAGTGTGCCTTCTTACCCTTCCCTTATAAGTCGATATTATAATACTGTAGGAAAAAACAAGAAGTCTGAAAACACAATTAGGTTTGTTTAAGTGCAGATATTCCTTAAACTAATTTTTTTTTGCTGGAATACCGATGCATGACTGAGGCTGCAACCATGGGAAACATGAGAACTAAAAAAATAATAGGGAAGGAAGATTTCCACTGTTTGTCTGGAATAGTAAATTGATGCAAAAATGGTTAACTAACATAATTTATAACATGTGATATTGTACTTGAATTATCAGTATCTTGCCATTCGAAAACGGCAAGCATTTCATACGTTTTTAGTCCCGTTTTCGGTGTACAGCTATCGAAAACAATTGTCAAAAAACACTGAAAAAACCACTGCAAGAGCTGATCAAACAACGTGTATAAGTGTGGTCATTGAAACCCTTTTGAAATTAAAAAATATATTTTTTTTCGAGGATTTTTTGCCGGACTGAAGGAAATGAACCTAAAGACATGACCCATTTACTCACGATCACCACAACTCGATATTCAAGTTTTTAGGGGGAGTAACCGAAATCAATTATCAAGAGATACATATTTTCCGACCAAAAAAAGTGATGATGAATCGCTTATATTGTCTGGACCGCAAGTATTGTTCTCACTTCTGTACCTGGGTATCGCTCCTAATCATATGATTTAGAAGGAGGAACGGCCTTAAGGCACGTTTTTACCCCGCGCGTGCAAACGTCTAGGGTTCTTTTGATTTTACAAGGGAAGTAGGAGGCGTCTACTCGTCCACACGAAGATTACGAACGTTTCATAATTGTGTTACAATAGATAACCGATACGATTAGGTCCACTGATAATCAAGACTCAGATAATCATATTATATTAGAGAATATGTAAATAACTCGCCGTAATTCTTATCAGTTTACCTTGTAGTTCATACAAACGTTGTTAGGGGTGTGTGTGTTTACGTGCGAACCACAAATAAGTAACAGTGAATATAAAGTAACAGTGAATTTATCAAACATTCACGAACTCAAAGGAACGTTACTAAGCTTCGGAGTAACCAAATGAAGATAACCGAGACATTGACGTTTAGACAGTAACCGGACTTCTGTCCGATAAATAGCCCTTTCCAGTTTGTTTGGTGGGTTTTTGGTTGATGAATCGAGGACAAGTGAATTTAAAAGTTTTTATTTTGCTGCAGTATAAATGCAATATTAATATAATATATTTTTCGTGTTGTGATGGCTACAGCTAAAAGTATAAACGCAGGTAAGTCTTTGTTATCAATTTTCATACTATTCATAATCCTTTTAGTCTTATCTACTAGTCACCCCTTCACTCTCCATTTCTATCATTGTTTACGTTTGATATTTCAGTTTAGCTCTTTATCTAGTTTTGCAACAAAATCTTTTTAAGCTTTTAGGAGACAAACTGGCAGCTTTTAAATCTTATTTACCAGTCACCCTTTCAAACTCCATTTTATCGTTGTTTACAGTAAAACGGTCGTTTTATCTCCTTATCTAGTTTTTGTAGTAACAGGAAGCCATTTTCCTGTTGTTAGCCACGTGATCGGTCTTTTCGAGATGTGATTGTGGAATTTAGAAATGCCAAAATCAGACGAAATGATGTTTAAAAGACCTGGATACATTAGCGACCGTGACCTAAAATTGGTTCAGAATTGACAAGAGGTCAAAGGAGCAATAGATAATCGTGCTACAATGCATGGCCGTAAAAATTGGGAAAATGCAAAGACGCTGAACATTGTAGTCGCCTCGACATAGAAAAATGACGAAAATGGTCTAGGGCAGGTTTTTTTTTGAGGATATAAGATACATTATTTAGCTTGTTTTATTTCCGGTTACTTGTTTTTCGACACAATCGCTTTATTCGTCTAACGTGCTGGGAAAAACTTGCTACTGAACTCATGAATTCTTGCACGAAACAAGTCTGTCAGGGAACATATGGTGAAACATTCGTGATTGACCAAGCGAAAACTCAGACTATTTAGGATCAGAATTAAATAACGAAATTAAATTTACTGTGGCTGAATAAATCGTCCGTTTTTCATGTACACAACTGTATGTGTCGCCGCCCGGCCACATTTTAAGTTCAGCTAAGTTCTCTCTACGCAACAGCTTCAAGCCAGACGGTCCCTGACGTAGCAAATGGTGCCAATGGAGAAAGTTAAAGGGCGGTGATTTTAGCTATTAGCCTTTTTACAAAACGGCTTTCTTTCGCTTATCAATTATATTCATATACTGCACATGTACCATCCACGGCTTGATACTGAATATCTCGGTAAGCTTCGGCTTCCATAGTTCGGTGCCAGGTCGAATTGCCATTGAAAACTGAAACAGCAACTATTTAATTTCAGTGTTGGTTTAGTTTTTATGCACAGTAATGTTTTTCTCATTTCATCGTTCTATCATATGATACTATTGATGTCTAATCTTTTGAAGAGTAGCGCTATGTTGTAAGTTCAAGCTGATGGAACGTCAGGAGCAGCGACAACGTCGAACGCCTGAGGCGTGACTGGTCGATGGAAGCTCAACTTTACCATGATCTTGGACATGGTTTATTCCGTCCTAAATATTCAATATTTCAAGATTGGAACAAGTTTACCTCTTTCAATTCAAGGAACGCCAGCCCAGTTTCAGTTTTTCACAAGCTATAGTGGTAATACAATCGTTAAAAATCTGGCGCATTACTATCATCGAAGGACACCAGGTTTAAATGTAATTCTAGGTGTTCCAGGACATCTAAATTTCAAGGTTTTCTGGGTAATAAAGCTCTCGGACCCTTGTTAGTATGCTCGCCCTTAGGGGCTGGATCAGCCCCACCTCTTAACCCGGCTTTGCTCAGCGATCCCTCCAGTATGAGAATTTGTTTATAAACAAGAGAGAGAGAAAAAAAGTGAGAGATGATAAAAGTTTAGGGTGATTTGAAATGAAAATGGTTTGAAAGGAGTAAAAATTCAGATCAAAGTTATTAATAAACGGTAAGTAAAATGAGTCACTTGTTTGACTGAACGATCATGGCGTTGCAGCTGTATTTAACTTTTCCAAGAGATTCTAATTCCATCGTCAAAAAAGTCTTAGATTAAATAACAACAGAAAAAAAAATAAAATAATTTGATCAGAACGCTAAGAAAAAAAACTACAGTGGGAAAGAACACCTGCAAAGATTAACAGAGTTTATTTCCAATCACAGAAGAACTCGGCCAAAAACCTTGACTTTTAATCGGCTGAACTTATGTAGAAGGAGTAAAAACTATTGTTTAATATCGTTTTGACTGTGTCGGCACCACGAGCTGCCTGGGCCCTTTTCTTCAGGGTGGAAAGAAGTACTACTGACGATAAAAGCAATTGATGTGAATTTATTCATAAACAAGATAGAGCGAAGATAAATGAGTTTAACAAATGATATGATGTTAAAGGAATAAAAATTCCATTCAAATATAACACATAAAAGAAATAATTTAAGTAAACGATCCCTGCGTTGCAGCTGTATTTGTCTTTTCCAAGAGATTTTAACCCCCCACGTCGGCAAAGTCTTAGATTAACTGACAATAGAAGAAATGAAAATAATTTCAGATCAGAGCGCCAAGTGATAAAGTGCAATAAGTAAGCTGAATCATCTTAGTGTAAAGAGAGATAGAGATTCCTTCCAGAGACTCAGCCAAAAACTCTGTCTTTGCACCTTTAATTCACAAAAGGTAAAGTTTTATATTATTTCGGTTTGCGATAGTCGGGGCGAATCTCATCTTTTTGTTTTAAAACAAAGTTTTAATTTTTGGTTGCAGATTTGACTAGAAATGACGCTATACCTGACGTACTTGTCGGTTTTGTTGTACATGATTGCTTCATCTGAAGGATGTCAACGAGAAAAAGTGAGAAAGTGTGCAAAAATTTACCTTGAAGACTTGGACGTGATCCCCGGATCAGATATAAGCTCTCATTGTCAACGCTTGAAGGTGAATTAACTCTAAATGTTCGACCGTGTAATGCAAAATACAAGATCTTTGGTAACATACTGTTCATGAAGTAATGAGGCTATTTTATAGTATAATTAGCGCGGCAATCAACCCACTGTTCTGCTACTTTATAGCCTGGTTTGTTTCGCATAGGTGACATCTTAGTGACTAGTGCACTTTTTGCGCTCGTTGGGAGACCAGCCCAGTTCTGTCTGCCCATTTTCCCGCTGTCTCTGAGTAGTAGCCAGTTTACTAATTACTACAACTAACTATAAAAGACGTTGCTAAGAAGATCAATGACATTAGTGTGTCACAATCAACGCCTAAACGGTAGCCTTTTTACCAGATGGACCGAAAGCTCCCTCAGTGACTATCTTTGAATAAAACATTTGTCATTAGGGGGAGGGGGGAGGGCTGGTGCAATTCTTTTTTCCCAGGGGAATTTTTTTTATGCCCTCTCTCAATTTCCTGCAGAAAAAAATGTAATCCTCCCCCTTGTATGGCCCAAAATAGTTATGTCCCTCCCCACGCTAACAGATATGACAGGGGTTATTAAAAGAGATCAATTTTTACCTTATGGTGAAGGGAGGCGCCAATGCGACATTCAGGAACAGGTATCTAAGATCACCTCACGGATTGACAAAATATTGAGCACGAACAATCCTGGTGCTGCTGGAAAATTTTACACTACAGATTATGTTCTTGTCCCAGCTGACCAGTTAATACTGTGGGTGAACATTATGAAGCTTAGTGAGTTACTAGAGAACATATCAGATATGGATTGACGCATTAAAGCTCCCCTTAACACCCTGTTTCACTCGTGGACTGGTAATTTGATACGAGGAGAAGAATATTCTAAATCGTTTGATGAAGATGTTATTACAAGGCTTGATGAAGCTAAAAAAAAGAGTTACAGTGAATTGAAATATCTTAATGAGAAACTTGATCAATGCAAAGACATGTTTCGCGGTGTGTTACTATTGAAAAACAAATCAAGAAAAAGATCACAGAAAGAAAACAAAAGGAAGAGCAAAAAAAGGAAACAACAGAGAGAAAGTAAAAATTTTAAACTGCTTCATCACCTTTTGTCAGCGACTTAAATTCAGATGTTATTGACAATATTGTGAATGTAGAATCTCTTGCACGCCTTTCAGTTAGACAGGTCAGGTGGCTGACAAAAATGGCCAAGAATGGTCATTTGACAGAAAGAGCCATTACAACAGAAAAGGACTATCTAGATGGTTTTATGGAAGAAAGTAAGGAAGAAATGGATACAGATGAAAGTCTCTCTGGGGAAGATAGTGACAGCTTGACAGAGAATGAGGAGTGTGGTGACTAAGCCTTAAATATTGTGATGCTCCACTGAGGGGTTTAATGTGAGCTGGATTAATTTAAACTGTTTCAACATTTAATATGTGTTGATTGGTTGGTTTTAGATATAAAATGTTTTGTTTGATATGTAAAGAACGCTTTTGTGCAACAGTTGACATACATGTAGGGTTGTTGGGTTGTTCAGGTTGATCATTATTACAGTCTAAAATGCTTACTGTTCAAGGGACTTGTTTGTTTAATAATACATTTTATTTGTTTATTTATTTTTATTTTAAGTGAACAGCAATGTTTGCTAAAAATGGTATGGCCCTCCCCAAAGCCGAGCTTAAATTTTTGGTGACCCTCCCCGTTTTGGCTACATAAAATTTAATGACCCTCCCCCCATTTGAACCAGCCCTCCCCCTTCTAATAAATGACATGTCTCTTATCAACTGAGTTCATTAAGTCAGTTCGCCACTGGCTATTCCTTGTGCCATTTTTTAAATAAGGCCTACGTATAAGTAAAGTCAATTTTGATGAAAAAAATAAATCATTCTAAGTTCTAAGCCGAGTGTTTCTTTTAGAGAAAGAGACATTTGCCCACGTGGAACATGATAAAAACTATTGCAGATGACAAAACATACAATTACATTACAAAAATAATCCTATATTGGGGAGGTCAAACGCACTCGGCACTTATTTGTAAACATATTGCCATTGGAGGTGACCTCTCTCAAAACCCCGGTTGTCATTTCGTGAGTTATCCATGCCAAAAGACCTGAAAGACCAACTGTAAATATCCACTGGAAGTTATAAATATTTAAATAAAGCAAATAGACGATAATGATGAAGATGAACACTAGGCCAAGACATTGGCAACGATAGTTTGTGTGAACTTACAAGCAACAAAGTTGACGGCATAAAGATGGTTTCCACCTCAAGGCGGTGAAAAGGCATACGTCATATCGAGAAAAGTATTTTCGGAGCCACGTAGATTCCACATCGATGCATGTGTTACCATGGCGGTGGATTTAATATGAAATCACAGATAAGGAAATGTAGGCCCCGTCCACACGAGTTCTGACATTTTTGAAACCGCTATTTTTTATCCGGATTCGTGTGGACGGGACCTTCAACCAATCTGGAGAGCGGTTTTAAAAGATGTGGTCTCGGAAAGCGGGTTTACTGGTTTCGTTTTGACGAAAGGCTGATTTGCGCCAAAAAAAATATGCGGTTTCAAAAATAGCTGGATTCGTGCCGACGTGGACTACTATAATTATGTTTGAAGACAAAGTGATTTTTAATAAGTTTTATTTGTGTCTTGTTACCACAGGATGTAGTAGGATGTGTTTGGTCGGACATGCCCAGCTGCACTGGTGAAGTGATAACCCAGTGGAGAGCCTGGGTTCTGCAGGTTGCTTCTTTGGAGACTTTTCTTGGCATCTGTCCTGGAGATTATCTCAATCTACAACGGATGTATGACGCCTTGCCCGAGGACTGTAAGAACACTTTAACACGCCCATTTTGTTATTTAGTATAATTTAGTGTCCTTCCTGCTGTCCTGATTGACCAAGATAGGCAATTTAACTTACATCGTCCCAGTAAGGAATCCCTGAAAGGCTGGAGAGAATGCACACCCCTACGTGATTACACATTTATGTGTGAGAGATTATAAGTTAAACAGAAAAATACTTATACATTTCCCCTATTCTCTCATCAAAGTAAAAAGAAAAGTCTTATGTTATTCTTTAAATAGTCATTTGTCAAATACAGTTAACACTTGCCAGATAAAGACATAACAGTGAAGTCACTGGTATGAGCAACATAGCTTATATTAGCGACGTATGTTCAGTGGAACTTCGACATCGTGAGGTCCACTCATTGTATATTGCAAAATGTAAACCAACCATTAATTCATCAACTTGCTAGTAGTGGTAGAGGGTCAGAATTAACCACCGTTGGTGGATAGGTAAGGATAGTTTAGGGATAGTCTAATTAAGTGCCTAGGCTTGCCTAGGCTTGCCCGTTAAGTAACTTGAGCCCGGTTTTCAGACCGTCTATTAAAAGGAAAATAGGAATAAGAGAAGCGATCACCTAGCAACGCGAGAAACGGCTTCCTATATCTTATTTCGCGCTAAAACTCAGATATATAAACAAAACGCATACAGAAAGTGGAGCTGAAAACAATAGAAGTGTGGTGGTGATGGTGGTGGTGGTATATAGTTTCACTATTTACGAAGCTGTGTTAAAAAAAGTTGAGTGTAGGGTCGATGTGGGGTCGATGTGGTCGTGGAAGGAAAACATATATAATAAAATGAAGAGGAGGAGGGAAAATAATAAAATTGAGGGAAAATATTTAAATTGTTGTGGAGGGAATAAAAAATTGAGGGAGAATATTAAAATTGTGGAGGAGGGAATTCAAGAATGAGGAGCGAAAATAATAAAATTGTAGAGGAGGGAATAAAAAAAATTGAGGAAGGGAAACGTGGTAAAAAAAGATAGCTTACTTTCTTTGACCATTTTGATAGATTTCTTTCAAATCGCAGTGTATTTGACTCATTTTGTTTTAACATTATCTCGTGTCTGATTTTATTGCTAGCAATTATTAGTCGCGTGTTTAATCAATTGATCCTTGTTAAGTTATTAATTGTTGTATAATAATACGTCAAGATGCTCCGTTAGGGTTTTTCCTGTAGAGCTAATTTGTATTCAACTTTGGGCTTGTGAACTCGGATAATTACCTGACTAACGGTGCGAGATAGAGCGGAGAAAACGGTTCTGTAATAGTCAGACAAAATTGAAATAGTGTGTTTTCAGCTCCACTTTGTGTATATGTCCGTGTGTTTTGTTTATATATCCGAGTTTTAGCGCTAAATAAGATGACCCAAACTAAATTGAAATAAAGACTTTTTAACTCCACTTTCTATATGTGTTTTGTTTATATATCCGAGTTTTAGCGCTAAATAAGATATAGGAAGCCGTTTCTCGCGTTGCTAAGTGATCACTTCTCTTATTCCTATTTTCCTTTAAATAGACGGTCTGAAAACCGGGCTCAAGTTACTTAACGGGCAAGCCTAGGCAAGCCTAGGCACTTAATTAGTATGGAGGAACGCATTTTTCCCCCAGGTTATAACAATGGGCGACGTCATAGACTATCCCTAAACTATCCTTACCTATCCACCAACGGTGGTTAATTCTGACCCTATACCACTACTCTTGCTAACACGTTTTTTTTCTGTTCTGTGTTTAAACGTAGCGAAAATCCTTCACTATTACAACGTTATGCAGAATGCTGGTAAGTTATTATTTGATTCTTCTTGGTTATAAATCGATTGTGGTTGCGAGGCTCTGCGATTTACGTATTTCTACTTATCATGCATTACCAAGCCCAAAAAGTAAAGGGGAATAAAATTAAAAGCAAGGATAAAACTGGACTACGATGTACTGCTATTCCTTGCTCCAGAAACTATAAGAGGAATTTTTTGGGTCGTTTGGGTGGACAGGCTTATGACTTGTCAAAGGTTGCCTTGAATACCATCGACCAATCATAATTAACGCTCGTCCACTAAAGGGATCCCACAAATCACTGCACCCGAAAGCAATATCTCTAGAGTTTTTGAAATGAGGAAATTTAGCTAAAATTGCCTTAAGCCTACGTGGTAAGACCGCAACATATACAATTTTCTTGCAGATATAGCTGAAGTTGACAAAGCCTGTGCCACAAATGTTCATATCACTTGCAGCAAGAAGTTTGTCGAAGCTGTGAAGAACGACAAACACATCTGTTCTGATGCAGTAGCTTGGATGAGATGCTACAAGGAGAATAATAATTGCGATGAAAAATCTTTGATTTACCGTTACACCCAGTATGCCAGTCAGGTGGAACTATTTTTAGAGCAAGAATGCAGTCAAGCTGTCAATGACTGAATCTTTTGTTAATCGCCGATTTTGATTATAACAGAGTTGCAATGGTAGAGAAAAAAGATATTTTGTAATCTTTCTTCTGGTGCTATAGTATGAATAAGATAGGCGAACATAGTATCCACTAAAGGTTGTTAGATCTACGTTATACCTCGAAAAAATAAAGTTAAAGAAGAAACGTTAAGAAATACTTATATCAATACTTGTATTCTAAGTAGAATGTATTTGGTAGAGCACTCAATTCATTTGATTGAAGAGCATTGAGTATAACTACATATTAGTTCAGGCTTTAGGAGCAATCGTCTTTTATTGCGGCAGTGCTGTTTCGTATGGTCCGAAATTATAGGACCACCTGATGAGTGTGGTCCTATAATTTCGGACCATACGAAACAGCACTGTCGCAATAAAAGATGATGACTCCTGAAGCCTGAACTCGTGTGAAATCCTTATATCAATATTTCTTTTTCGTCTGTTGATAAACCAGTTTTCCACCAACATAACTCTTTGACGACATCCGTGTTCAAAATACTTCCGCGCCTTTCAAGGAGATTCTGGCATTAGGCTTTAAAGCTTTTTAGGAAAGCGTGTTTCATAAAAAATATGAAATTCGGAAAGAGTTTATTTGCGTTTTTCTAATTTACTCCTGAACTATTTTTCATAGGGCTGGAATATGTAACCCAAAACTCAGGTATTTTTAAAAAGTGAATGCAAGCTGACTGTTCAAGATGCTTATTCTTGTACGGTAACAATTTCTGAAGGTACAAAGAGGGATGCAAATGCTTTTTTATGCTACTTAAAAGATAAAGTGTGTGAGGGATTAGGGATAAACCATCACACAAGTGAAGTCCCTTATTTTCAAGTTTGTACTATTAGTTCAAAGTACTAAAAAATCAATAACATTGATCTTTTTGAGTCCTTTGTGTTGTAAAGTAACCAGCTCAGTCTGTATGGTCGCAACCAACTGTGCCGTTATTGACTGCCATTAGCAACAATAGAAGTGGTATAGGGATGTTTTGGGGCTTGTTTTGGTCAGGAATCTCATTTATGAGGGCAGGAGTACATTAACGCCGATGACATCATAACCTTTTGTCTTTATCCTATGAATAAATCTGCAGGATTCTCATTATCTCCCATCTTTTGTATTTTTTCAAAAAATGGAAACAATTGACTCACGCAGTAGCCTACGCCGGTCTTTATTTTATAAATATAACGCACAGGCCGAATTAACCCCTTTTTCGTGGGGGAATCGCTCATGCCGATGACGTCATAGCCTTTTGTCCTTATCTCATGAATAAAATGCGGAGGAATCTCATTAAGATAAGGTCGTGTGCCTGCCTCGTACCCAGACGTCTCTCTCGATGTGCGCGCAAAGGAAGGCGGGAAGGAGACAATGGGCGAGACGGTCGGCATTAGATTCTACCCACCAAAACCACATCGATCGAGAAGGACTGAGATTAAGTTTTGAATAACTTAAAAGTCGTAACCGAAGATTCTCGGAAAATGTACAGATGATATGCACGAACAACCGAACATCCGAATACTAGATCGGACGTTCTAACCACTGAACCATTAGGGCTCTAGCGTTAGTGAAGTCGGAATTCTACTATACCAGCAGAGTGTACTACACTTCTGTACTGGGAGCTGAAAGAAAGAGAAAGGCTCGAGAAAGGCTGCGTTCATTTCACGTGGGGGTGCAGAAAATATATCAGGGGATACAATTTTTATACATAATGACTGAGATGTTAGTAAGATGTTGGAAACGAGCAACGAGCGGCGAGAACGAATCGCGAAGCTCGCTGGTAACTGCTCGTTCTTTCTCACGCGGAGAAAAATCAGGAACAACCTCTGGAACCAGGATATATAGCTAGGTGTAAATACCGCGAGCTTTATACTCCCCCCACCCCCTGCAAGAAGAAGTTTCTTTCCGGCATGGATTTTAGCATTCCAGTCTACATATATTGACCTCCAAAATTCTAAATTTCTGAGACTTATGAATGTACATAATACAGCTTTACTGCGCTTTTCACAAACATGCGAACTCTAAAGTTCAAAAGCCGCCTTCGCAATTGCGTTTTTCGCTGCCGTCAATCATAATTACGACCACAAGCAACGAACCTTGAAACACAGAAAAACACAAAACGGATCGAAATCCACCAATCACAAATCACAAAACTTGACCTTTTGAACCATTAAAGTAAAGTCTTGTTTCCTAAGAGGTCCGTTAAGATGATTGACGGCAGCGAAAAACGCAATCGTCAGTTGCTTTTGAACTTCAGAAACATATCCAAAATTCGCAGCAATTTTCCTATCGAACGCGGGTTCGTAAATAAAAATTCCCGCCATGATGTTCCTGTTTGTTTCCCGGGACTGATGATGGGATTTGGAAGGTCGCGAGTTCGACTCTCGCCCAGGGCACGAAAATTTTCGTTGCCCCGGGCAAGCATGGTTTGTCCTTCTCCCAAGTGAAAATGTTCACTGGAAGTGTAAGTGTGCTGCTCACAAGTGCACATTAAAAAAATAATAAATAATAATAAGAAAACAAAATAGTTTGTATGTGTAAATAATAACAACTTATATAAAAACCATGATTAAAATTTTGTTTGTGTCAATAATTATTATGCTTTGAGTATGGTCTTAAAAAAGTCCTTCAGTACTTTGCAGAAGCGTAACTATGCGCCAAAAAAATTAAAACCCTGAGTGGTTTTGGTTGTAGACTTCAACATCCACCAAAACCACCGACAGTGTTCGGTGCTAGATGTGTATCACGTAGACCCATGAAATCTGAAACATATTTTAAAACTTCAAGTACAATATTTGCCAAAATACAGTTATACTCGTTATATTCACCCTTTGTTGGCGAGAACTCGATCTCCCAAATATTATTAAGCCCAACGCAAAAGAAAGGCGAATCCCCGGGAGGCGAATACGTCAAAACATCGTAGGCATCTTTTGTTGGTATAACATGTCACAAGGTGTCCAAAAGTCAATCTCAGTCCCTCTCGATCGATGTGGTTTTGGTGGGTAGAATCTAATGCCGACCGGGTGAGACGTCTGGCAGATCTTGCTTTCAAGATGGCGGCAAGAGTGACGGCGGACCAATATACAATTTTTGAAATAAGTTCAGTCCTGTTCATTTGCGAATTTTGAGCAAATCATTGCCTATCCACGTCGTGTGTGTGAAGAGGAAGCTGTTTTCACCCCACACATTGGACTCAAGCATCATAATGTTTACTACCGAACTACATAATGTTTACTACCGAACTTTATATCGAAAAACTACTAGCCGCGGACGGGACAGTACTGCCTTTAATTTAATGAAACTGCCGCACGCCAAGGTAACAGCCGGTCAGGAAAGTCAGTAAGTTAGTAATCGTTTCTGTTAAGGTCCCCAGTGATGAAACGATCTCTTCAGTCGAAGTGAAAAATGGCGAGCTGAGAATTGAAATCAAATGAAGTGTAACAAATTGAAGTCAAATGAAGCCAAATATTTTGTAAAGCTTTAAAATACTATTTGCTGCACGCTGTATCTTGAGTACTCGAAAAGGCAACAAACCAGTCTAGTCTCAAGACCTCTAAGTTATGTTATAAAATAGATGATAAAATATTTTTTAAATCTGTTAAATTTTTTGTCTCAGGATTTCGCATTGTGTATCATTTGCTCGACAATGTAAGCTTATGTACCGGAAAAACAGCCACAAAACTAGCTCCAGGTTTTTTTTTACTTGTATTTTTTTATTGTTCGATTACCTCACTGAGTACTAGACTTGTCACTGAATGCACAGCCCGGTGTAAATAAATTCTACTTACTTTTTATTTATATACCTCATTTTATGATGAAGCTGTGTCGAATGTGCAGCAAATACTTATTGCCTGTATTGTTTTTTATTTGTTTTTGTGATATTACACAGTGAACCAATTTGGTTTTGTCATGCTCTTTTATAACACATCATTTGTGTGTCAATAAATAAATTATTGGTAACTTTGGTTTTAATTTGATAGAGAATTTTGTTACCCTGATTGAAGAGGGTGATGTAGTTGATGAGGTACCATCATTACTACCATTTGGCCAGGCAGGAGACGTTGCCCTAGACACTTTTTTAAAAAAATAATTGTGTTTGAATATTTCAAATTTCATGGCAAACAAGATGCTGTGAATGCCATTTTAGAGAATAATGATTGCATTGTCCTAATGCCAACTGGTGGTAGGAAAGACTGAGTATTATGAAGTTCTTGGGATCATTCTACCCAGATTCAACATTGCTGTTCCTGTGATTGCTTATACATGGTTCCTTTCTTGGCAAACGTGTGGTAGCATAAAATTCCCCTCAAAAGTCTTCTGAAGGGGTAGTTTTTGACCTGCTTTGGAGTTGCAGAGGAATACAAGATCATCTAATAATTATCAATGGACACAGAATTACCTTGAAATGCAAAAAACGTTAAGATAAGTATAGATGGTTCTGCATAACTACTAACCTCCAACCCCCTTCCTAGAAATTTTAACTACAAAATTGTAATCAAGATACAAGCATCTAATGGAAAGAACAGTAAAAACAGGCCCCTGGACAAACTGGAAGAATATGCAGTAAAAAAACACTACACTACACTATTAGTAGGCTGATGTCAGGTCTATTAACAGTGTCAAGCAATGAAAAATGCCAGCTGTTTTAAGTATGGACCAGAAGCTCAGCCATGCAAAACCCTCACCACTTTCCATAGCTTCCACCTCACCCAGAGAAATAAAAAATATTGCTCCTATTCCTTAAAGTAGTGTCACTGGACATTGAATTGATGTATGTTTTATGAACTTCTGCCGTGATTATTGAACTGAGATGTGGTCAGGTCATTGAACTATGGTCAGCAAAAGAGAAAACCTGCACCCCTAATCCAACTTAAACTCAATCTGTCTTGCCCAAAGTAATAAAATACTTTGCTCCTATAATTCCTTTATTTTGGACGATGGAAATTAGGTTGATGTGTGTTTTTTGAATTAATACTGTGATAAAAGCATGTGTACAGTTGGCCCTTCCCCTCAGAAGAAATTGCTGTACATGGGCTACTGAGATTATTGAACGGGCATGTTGTCATTGAACTGACTTCTGTTAACAAAGGGTTAAGCCTTTCCCCCTTCTACATTTGTGTGTCCCAATAAAGTTACATTGAGACCACAGACCTGGAGTTTAAATGAGATGTAGTAGTGTGATCATTGAATCATGGTGTTTTAACTGAACTATATAGTTTATTCAACCTTTATTCAAACATTTTTAGTCTTGCAATAGGGGTGCCATCATGTCAGACATCTAGGTAAATAAAATTAGTGGTGTAACAATTAATCAAATTCTCGATTAATTGTGATTATGACAGTTCAGTTCAATTCAGGATTCTTTGCTTTCGCATCTCGATTTTGGTTCGGTTTTTGCACACCTTTTCCAGGGTGCCCTCAGTGAGTTATTATATTGTAAAATAAGAATCCAGAACTCTTTAATGTGCGTTTTTGATAGACCAGCAAAGACGATAGCAGTTCGCGCGCCATTTTGAGTTGCCTGGCAAAAATGCTGTCCTTCAATCTCCCCTTGAGAATTTCCAAATAAGGCAATTAACCATATGCAACACACTCTTTGTCAGGTTCTCAAACATGGCGATGAACCAAGCGACTGTGAATCCTCCTGTCTCTGTTACTATTCTTATATTGAGGATTTAGGGTTGCATGCTGTTTACATTACACATTATGTTATAAGAATTATGAAACATTTACGTAATCGAATCGAAATAATCGAAATCGAAAGGCAATACTCGAAATCGAATCAAATCGCAAGGAATATGAATATTTCATTTTTTTACACCCGTAAATAAAATGAAATAAAGTTAAAACTAATGATAGCAATAATAAAATCTCCTACAAAAGATAAAATCGATAAATATATTTTAGCATTAATTATTGTACAATATATAGAGGATATTACATGGCTGCGCGGAGATACAAAATTTGCCTTTGAGTGGTGTTGAAAAATATTTCATGTGTGAGCGCAGCGAACACGTTAAATATTTTTTCAACACGAGAACAGAAATTTCGTATCTCCAAGCGGCCATGTAATGTTCTATTTATTATATAAACACCAATGAAATACCAAACCATTTCACTTTAATAGTTTTTGGGTGTGAAAGGCGCGATTTATTATGTAGCCATAGCAAAGGTCATATTTTCACACATGACTTAATATGTTATTTTCACATGTGAAGATATCAAGTTTTCGTGTGAAAGCTCACCTAGTATTTCACCTGGTTTTCAAATACTAAAAAAAATTAAGCTAGAAAAGACTGCCTTTATATTCGTTTCCCTCATCAAGATGGAGAGAGGTAGTCCAAAATGATGGATTGATCAATGCTGGCACCTTCCTTCTCTTCAACCCCTTCCCTGGTCCGAAAATAAAGTTCATTACTTATCTCTCGAGAATCTAGGGATCTTATACCGAGAGTTGGGAATTTTAAGCTTCAACAAGTTATGCATTTTTATTTATTTTGTCAAAAGCGTCTACTGAAATATATCCATCTGTCCCTGATTTCAGAGTAAGTAACGTCGCAGACTTAAATCTTGGTGTAAGGACATAATGTGGTCTTGATAATCAACTCCTGACCTTGCACAATCTAGGTAGGCCTTGCACTTCTTTCAATTCACAAGGTTACTTGCTCGTTGTTCGGTGGATTTGGCCTAAAAGAGCGAAAAATAGAAACATAATCGCCGGCGCTGTACTTTACTAATCCGGATTCTGCAATAAACGACAAGTCAAATACTAAAATATAAGACTTACCCGATACCGTCAAGTCATCAAATATTTTGTTAGAGGTCTTCGATTCGTAAGAATCCAGCAGAATCTGACTCCTTTGCAGCCTGTCGGTTATTTCTACCTCAAGTTTTGAAATTTTGAGCCATTCACCTGTCTACTCAAAGTTTACAATGTTTACAACAATATGCTACTAAAATTGATCGCTTCCAAGACTTAAAAAGACCAAAAATTGGGCCGTGCCAAGAAAACGACTTTTTTGCCAAGAAAACGACACAAGATCTGGCAGGCGCTTCGCCTGCCGTCTGTACCCTTCCCATGGTCCCTTGCGGTTCATCACCAGTCACTCGTTTCGCGCTCGCCTCTGCCATGCGAAAAACGAAGCGCCTGAGGAGGAGGCTGGTCGTGTGCTATTTCTAAGTGGTTTAACCGGTCTGAGAGGTTTTCGGCAACTGTCCTTGGTTTTCGATTCGTTGATTAGAAAATAAGAAACGTTTTGACTGGTTAATTCATGGTGTTTGGGGAATAAGCTCAAACTCCCCTGTGACTTACATTTACTGAGCCGTAACGTAATTACCGTCGATTGCACCTACCCGTGAACGCACGCGCTCAAAACATGTTTTCACGTGACGTCAAACGTCTGAGTTTCAGGTGTCAAACTTTGAAGTTTTCCCGCCCAAATGTGAAGTTCCCACGGTAGAGTCGGTGTTCTCGTGGTTCACTCTGTTCTCTTGACCGTTCACTGTCAGCGCGGTCAAGAAATCAGAGAAAAATCAGCGAAAATCTTTTCACTGATATGGAGAGCTGAAAAAGTATCGAGGACTTTCTCAGAGAAGTGGATGAAGATTTATTAATATATGCTGGTGAATTACGAAGCAATGGTTTTACGTCAACAGCGAGCGCAAAGTATCTAACAGAAAACGATCTAGCGGGAATCCCTGAAGGACATAAAAGACTTATCTTAAATATGGTTAGCCGTCTGAGAACGCCCGTACGTGAAAGACCGCAGACTAAGTTCCCCTCATTCTCAGAGAAAAGTCCAGCTTCTAAATCTCCAGCGAGGAAAAAAACTGTCCTTAGTGCTGGCGAGGCAAGTGTTGGACAAGAAGCACAGTGGTCACAACGTGAAGCCAGCGTCTCGCGCCCAACGATAAGACGAAAATTACTGTCTCCTGGAGAAAGATTCATGGACGAAAAACGACGCGCTGTGGAGGACAAACTTGCCGAAGCAGCTGAAAAACGAAAAGTGCTAGAAGATTGTTACCGAAGAATAAAAGAGGCTGCTTCCGAAAATAACCTTACCGGCCAACGATGCAGTAATTGCCATTACCGAAATCATACTGTTCGCAGTTGTCAGATGGAAAAGTGCGAGTCAGTATTTTTCTGTGGCGAAATAACGCGACATCCTGACGAAAAGATGAAGCTCCAAGAGCAGAAGAACGAAATAAAAGCATTAGAAACATCAGCAACTAAACTTGAACAAGAACTGAGGTCTAGGGAAGCAGCTTTTGATAGAGTGCAGGGGTCTGTAAACAAACAACTAGAAGACATGCTACTCAAAGAATACCCTGAAGAATATGTCCAAAATAATGCAAGAAATTGGCTGAAAATTCAACAGGACATTGCGTTTGTGAAGAAATCATTAAAGGGCAGTGGACCGCCTCGACGAGAAATTGTGAAATCTCTCCTTGAGAGAAAAAAGTCCGCTGAGAACGACAAACGCCTTGGACTTAAAAGTCTTCCAGAACGTGGCGCCGCCGCGAACAGCTCAACTGCTGATTGCTCGCAAACCAGAGTCCGGCTCGAAAGCTACGGTGTAACTTTCCCTGATCGGCGAAACTTTACTAGCTCAACCAGTTTCTGCTTGTCGCCAAGTACAGCAGAGGAAGAGGAAGAACAGCTTTGCATGGCTAAACAGTTGTCTCTTGGTTCCATACCATTTGATAATGGCGATAACACTGAACAAACTAAGGAAGTGGCCAATATTTTGCTGTCCTTCAAGTCTTCAAACGAATGAATGAAACTTTGACTTAGTGTACGGTATTTTACGTAGCCTGTGTGCTCGATTAAGCGTTAATAACTTTACTGTTATTGTAAGATCATAACTAGTTTCTGCCATGTCGACATCCTTTTTCTCTTGTCGTTTAAGCAGTAAAATGTTAGGATGTTTTGAAACAGAAAGTTCATTTTTTGTCGAAATTACACATCGATTGTCGTTTTTTGCATGTGTACGTTTATGCGGAAACTTAGCAATTGCCGTTTTCTCAGATAAGTTGATTTCAATAACACATAGAACAAACTAAGGACGCGGACAATATTTTGCTGTCCTTCAAGTCTTCAAAGACTTCAAAGGAGTGAAGGAAACTGACTTTTTTAGCTTTGTGCACGGTATTTTACGTGGCCTGCATGCTCTATTTTACCGTAAATAATTTTACTGTCACAGCTAGTTTCTGACTTGTTGACATCCGTTTTTCCTCGTTTAAGTAGTAAAATGTTAGGATGTTTTGTAACAGAAACATCATTTGTTTTCGAAACCGCACATCGATTGTTGTTTTTTTCTCATATTTACGTTTATGCATGCACAAACTTATTAACTGATCAATTAAACTTGCCGTTTTGTCCGATAAATTCAATAAATCGAAACGAACTGTGAGACAATATTGACTTTTTATTGTAGTTTAATATTTGATGGGGTATTATTCTGTACTTGTAGTATGTTCACACCATACTATTTCATGCAAGGGAATGCACACGGCAGCGAGCGTCCTCTAAGAACCGGACTTTGTAAAAATACTGTAACGAAAAAACTCTTGACAAATACATTCGGAGTTGTGTTAGTAACAGGCCTTTTTACTTTTGGCTTTTCGCATTACATATTGTGATAATAACAGAGCAAAATTTGGCGGAAAATAAAACCGCCGAAACATTATAAGTTTTATTTTTAGTAAACAAATTTATAGCCGAGTTTCAAACAATTAAGTACAGTCTTTGGCAACAACATTTCTGGGTCAGATGACTACATTATTTTACTCTATTTCTCACTCGTCCATGGCAATAATAATATTACTGTATTTGTTCCAAATTACAGTTCTGTCTCTCAAAAAAAATATCCTACATGCTTGTAGTAGCCGTACATGTCGGCCGCTGTTACATCCTCGATCGCTCTCAACACTGCGTATTCCAGGTTATCCCACACTAGTTCCTGGTATCTGTACTTCAACAAATATTTCAGCTTCGAAAATACCTCCTCAACAGGATTCAGATCTGGTGAATACACTGGGAGGAAAATGAGCTCCATTCCCAAATCATTTAGGAAGCTTCGCAGAGCTCTTTCCGCTTCGCCATGATGCGCGGCTAGATTGTCCACCACAACAATGTCGCCAACTTCGAGAATTGGTCTTTGCGTTATTGGATCAACTGTTTGGGAAGCCTCATCAAAGAATCGTAAAAACTGTACAGAGTTCGACGCTCCTTCTATGGTGTTTCCATATTTTACTCCATCATACCCAACCAGAAAGTTCAGGGTGAGGTTTGCGGTAGACAAGTATCTTCGCGCTTCTACGCAATCTTCACCGACAGGTGACAAACCAAAGTTTCTGTGACCGGCATCAGGCAGTTGAAAACCTGACTCATCGAAAAACTTAACAGAGGAAGGATCTTTGTCTTTTAAATAGTCAATGTACAACTGAGTGTACACTATATTTTCTGGAGTAAAACGCTCTGACGCACATTTCCCCAATCTTTTTCGGGAATAGTTCCGGCCACTTGGGAGTTTGTTCCTAATATTTCTGGAAATTGTTGATGTTGACAGTTTTCCGCAGTCACCGTGAATGGCCAAATCATCGCGCAGTTCTTTAAGAGAGGACGAACCTCTTGCTTGCACCATGGTCTCCAACAGAATAGAGTCTTGGAAAGTACACTTAGGAACTGTTCGAACGTGATTCAACTTTTTGGGAGCCGTGCTTCCAGTCAAGTTGTACTGCTTAACGATTTTTGAAACTGAACCCTTGCTGATGCGTAATCTTCTCCCAACTTCTGAAAAACAATAATCCTGCGCAAGTTCTTTTACTTGATTCCGCAAATCGCTTGAAAGTGGGACACCTTTTTGATAATTTCTTCCTTTCTTGTTGATTGAAAACATCTTCCCTTTGAGCAGTGCCGAGAAGGATAACTTCAGATTTGGGCGGGAAAACTTCAAAGTTTGACACCTGAAACTCAGACGTTTGACGTCACGTGAAAACATGTTTTACGCGCGTGTGTTCACGAGTAGATGCAATCGACGGTATGCACGTTGTAATTTCTGCCGCTGTCATTTTTCCAGTTCACGAAAGCAAACCAGCACCAAAAAATGTTTTACTTAGTTAAATACCCCACACTCCTCCTACTCCTTCACTGACAATTAATTAATTACCTCTTTTTTCTTTTTACTTTCTCTCCACCACATCGACCCCACGTGGACCCTACAGTCAACTTTTATCTTAACACAGCCTCGTGAATAGTGAAGCTATATACAATCACCACCACTATCGCGGACTATGACGTTATATTCATCGCGCTAAGCCGTGAATATTAAGCAGAACAAAATCGCTGTCGTGAACTGGGTGTTTTGCCAAAGTTTCATAGTACAGACTTTTTGAAAATACACGAATATCCAAGTGCTGATGACTTTGAAGGCAAGAAAAAACTTCATGGTGTTTAAACAGCATGATTTATTGTGAAGTGGTTTACTGTAGCTGACTTTTTGTACGCTCGAAGCTATGTGCACTACGGAGGAAAACGAGGTCGCTTTGTCGCTGTTTTTGTGATTTCGGGATTTTCTCGCAAGACCAATTTTGCCTAAAATTAGAAGTTAATGTATGGAGAAAAGAGGAAGGCACATATTTTCGAAAATTGTACGTGCCAGCAAGTTAACAAGGCAAAGAATTTTGGAGATTCAACAATATTAACTTCGCCTTCGGCGAATAATTGTTAATTATTACCAACTTCACAATTATTTTTTCTTGCAACTTATGACAATGAAACTTTGAAAGAGGAAAAGCGGCAGTTGTGATACGATAGGGGAACCATAATAAAGTGACTGTTTTATACTGAGTGGTGTTATTTGCTTAACCTTTAGTGGAATGATTGTAACCTAGTGTACAAAACACAAATCTAGCAACAATTGTGTTGTAAACAGAAGAGGAGAAGTATCCGAGAACGATACTAGCTCAAATGGGTATGTTAAAATGTTATATGGTTTTTTTAGAAATCAAAACTGTAGTGACATACAATTTTTAAAACTGAACAATTAATAAACATTCACATGTTTATTTCCTACTTTCTTATTATAAACAAGGAATTCATACAATCTGGGTCACCCTGAATATGTTATAACAACTTGCTTAAGGTACCTGAAACATCATCTTCTGATAATAACTGGAGCACTTCAAAAAGAACTAAACGAAATAAACTGCCCTTATTCAAGTGATGTAAAACCTGTTTGTCGATATAATATTCACTATCCCAGTGCACATTGAAGTAAGAGTGTCGGGAAAAATTTACATTTCCTCAACAGCTCTTGTGAAATCAGGCAAATCAAGGCCAAAATTACCCTCGTTTCGGGTATATATGCACGCTATAAGGTGGCGTTCACTTTCCTAGGCTCTCCCGAATTGAGAACTTGAGATCAGGCGGCCTACATCGTGCGAAGAAGTCGTAAACAAGGTTGCAGATTAAAGCTTACAGTTCGCTCAGACTATTCAGGATAAGAATTAAATGGCGAAATTAAATTTACTGTGACTGAATAAATCGTCACTTTTTCAGATTTTCATATACACAACTTTTTGTGTCGCCGCCGGGCCTCGCTTTAAGTTCTCTCTACGCCACAACTCCAAGCCAGACGGTCCCTAACGTAGCAAATGATGACAATGGAAAGTTAAGGGGCGGTAATTTTATCTATTAGCCTGATTACGAAACGGCTTTCTTTCGCTAATCAATTATATTCATACATTGAACACGTACCATCCACGATTTGATACTGAATATCTCGGTAAACCTCGGCTTCGGTTCCATTGTTCGGTGCCAGGTCGAATTGCCACTGAAAACTGAAACAGCAACTATTTAACTTTAGTTTTGGTTTAGTTTTTAAGCACAGTAATAGTTTTCTCATTTTAGTGTTTTATCATATGATACTATTGATGTCTAATGTTTTCGAGAGTAGCCCTGTGTTGTAAGTTTAAGCTGATGGAGCGTCAGAAGCAGCGGCAACGTCGAACGCCTGAGGCGTGTCTGGTCGATGAAATCATGGAAGCTCAACTTTACCATGATCTTGGACATGGTCTATTCCATCCTAATTATTCAATATTTTAAGATTGGAACAAGTTTACCTTTTCCAATTCAAGGAGCGTCAGCCCGGTTTTCCATTTTTTAAAATTTTTTTTCCTACAATAGCTAAAAATCTGGCGCGTTACTATTATCAAAGGACATCAGGTTTAAATGTATTTCTAGGTGTTTCAGGCCATCTAAATTTCAAGGTTTTGTGAGTGAAAAGGTCTCGGACCCTTGTTAGTATGCTCTCCCTTACGGGCTGGATTAGACCCACCTCTTAACCCAGCTTTGCTCAGCGATCCCTCCAGTATGAGAATTTGTTTATAAACAAGAGAGAGAGAGAGAAAAAAAAAAGAGAGATGATAAAAGTTTAGGATGATTTGAAATAAAAGTGGTTTGAAAGGAGCAAAAATTCCGATCAAAGTTATTAATAAACGGTAAGTAAAATGAGTCACTTGTTTGAATGAACGATCATAGCGTTGCAGCTGTATTTAACTTTCCCAAGAGATTCTAATTCCCCCCGTCAAAAAAGTGTTAGATTAAATAACGATAAAAAGAAATTAAAATAATTTGATCTGAACCCTGAGAACTAAAATACAGTAGGAAAAAACGGCTACAAAGAGTAAGAGAGATTATTTCCAATCACAGAGGAACTCGGCCAAAAACCTTGACTTTTTATCGGCTGAACTTATATAGAAGGAGTAAAAACTATTGTTTAATATCTTTTTGACTGTGTCGGTACCACGAGATGCTTGGGCCCTTTTCTTCAGCGTGGAAAGGAATACTACTGACGATAAAAGCAATTTATGTGAGTTCATTTATAAACAAGACAGAGCGATGATAAATGAGTTTAACAAATGATATGATTTTAAAGGAATAAAAACGCCATTCAAAGACGACACATAAAAGAAATAATTTAAGTAAACGATCACTGTGTTGCAGCTGTATTTATCTTTTCCAAGAGATTTTAACCCCCCACGTCTGCAAGGACTTGGATTACCGGACAATAGAAGACTTAAAAATAATTTGATCAGAGTGCTAAGTGATAAACTGCAATAACTAAGTTGAATCATCTCAGTGTAAAGAGAGATAGAGATTCCTTCAAGAAACTCAGCCAAAAACTCTGTCTTTGCACCTTTAACTCACAAAAGGTAAGATTTTAAATTACTTCGTTTAGCAATAGACGAAGTGAAACTCAACTTTTTGTTTTAAAATAAAGTTTTAATTTTTGGTTGCAGATTTGACCAGAAATGACGCTATACCTGACGTACTTGTCGATTTTGTTGTACATGATTGCTTCATCTGAAGGATGTCAACGAGAGCAAGTGAGAAAGTGTACAAAAAACTACCTAAAAGAGTTGGACGTGATCCCCAGATCAGATATAAGTTCTCATTGTCAACGCTTGAAGGTGAATTGACTTTAAATGTAAGACCGTGTAATGCAAAATACAAGATCTTTGGTAGCATACTGTTCATGAAGTAATGAGGCTATTTTATAGTGTACTTAGTGCGGCAATCGGCCCACTGTTCTGCTACTTTCAGGATTGTTTTTTTTCTTATGGGTGACACCTTAGGGACTTGTCCACGTTTTCCGCGCGTCGGGAGACCAGCCTAATTCTGTCTGCCCATTTTCCTGCTGTCTCCGAGTAGTAGCCAATTTACTTATTACTACAACTAACTATAAAAGGCGTTGCCAAGAAGATCAATGACGCGAGGTAGCCTTTTTACCAGGCGGACCGAAAGCTCCATCAATGACTGACTTTCTGCAAATAAAACATTATTTTGTCATTATCAACTGAGTTCATAAAGTCAGTTCACCACTGGCTACCTTCCTTGTGCCATGTGTTAAATAAGGCCTACGTATGAGTAAAGTCAATTTTCATTAAAAAATAAATCATTCTAAGCCGAGTGTTTCTTTTATAGAAAGAGACTTTTGCCCACATGGAGCATGATAAAAACTATTGCAGATGACAAAACATATAATTATATATTACAAAAATAACCCTCTATTGGGGAGGTCAAACGCACTCGGCACTTATTTGCAAACATATTGCCATTGGAGGTGACCTCTCTTAAGACCCCGGTTGTCATTTAGTGAGCTATCCTTGCCAAAAGACCTGAAAGACCAACTGTAAATATCTACTGAAAGTTATAAATATATAAATAAAACAAATAGACGATGATGATGAAGACAGGGCCGTAGCCAGAAAAAAATAAGGACTGAGGCAATATCCATGGTTGAATTCCCCGCCTAGCTATTCAGGGTCTTTATGATGACTACGTTTAAACAAAACACTGCCAGGATCAAACCTTAAATGACTGAGGCAAGTGCCTCGGTTTGCCTCATACTGGCTACGGCCCTGGAAGATGAACACTAGGCCAAGACATTGGCAACGATAGTTTGTGTGAACTTACAAGCAACAAAGTTGACGGCATAAAGATGGTTTCCACCTCAAGGCGGTGAAAAGGCATAAATAATATCGAGAAAAGTATTTTCAGAGCCACGTAGATTCCACATCGATGCATGCGTTACCATGGCGGTGGATTTAATATGGAATCACAGAGAAGGAAATTTAGGCCCCGTCCACACGAGTTCTGACATTTTTGAAACCGCCAATTTTTATCCTGATTCGTGTGGACGGGGCCTTAAACCAATCTGGATAGCGGTTTCAAAAAGATGTGGTTTCGAAAAGCGGGTTCACTGGTTTCGTGTGGACGAAAGACTGATTCGTGTAAAAAAAAATCTGCGGTTTAAAAAATAGCTAGATTCGTGTCGACGTGGACTAATTATGTTTGAAGACAAAATAATTTTTAATAAGTTTTGTTTGTGTTCTGTTACCACAGGATGTAGTAGGATGTTTTTGGTCGGACATGCCCAGCTGCACTGGTGAAGTGATAACCCAGTGGAGAGCCTGGGTTCTGCAGGTTGCTTCTTTAGAGACTTTTCTTGGGATCTGCCTTGGAGATTATCTTAATCTACAACGCATGTATGACGCCTTGCCCGAGGACTGTAAGAACACTTTCTCACGCCCATTTTGTTATTTACTATAATTCAGTGTCTTTCCTGCTCTCCTAATTGACCAAGATAGGCAATTTTACTTGCATCGTCCTAGTAAGGAATCCCTGAAAGGCTGGAGAGAATGCACACCCCCACGTGATTACACATTTATGTGTGAGAGATTATAAGTTAAACAGAAAAAATATTTGTAGATGTCTCCTATTTTCCCATCAAAGTAAAAAGAAAAGGCTTATAAATGTTTTTCTTTAAATGACATTAGTGAAATACAGTTAACACTTGCCAGATAAGGACATAACAGTGAAGTCACTGGTATGAGCAACACAGCTTATATTAGCGACGTATGTCGGTACAGTTTAACTTCGACATGGTGAGGTCCACTCAGTGTATGTTGCAAATGTAAACCAACCATTAATTCATCAACTTGCTAAAACGCTTTTTTTGTTCTGTGTTTAAACGTAGCGAAAATCCTTCACTATTACAACATGATGCAGAATGCTGGTAAGTTAATTATTATTTGATTCTTCTTTGTTATAAATCGGTTATGGTCCCGAGGCTCTGCGATTTACGAATTTCTAGCTATCATGCATTAACGTGCCCAGAAAGTAGAGGAAAAAAAATTAAATCACGGATAAAACTGAACCACAATGTACTGCTATTGCGGACTCCAGAAACTACAAGAGGAATTTTTGGGGTCGTTTGGGTGGACAAGCGATACTTATGACTTGTTCAAGGTTGCCTTGAATACCATCAACCAATCATAATTAACCCTTGTCCACAAAACTGATCCCACAAATCACTGCACCGAAAGCAATCTCCCTAGAGTTTTTGAAATGGGGAAAATTAGGTAACGTTGCCTAAAGCCTACGTGGTAAGACCGCAAGGTCAGGTGGGTAGAGCCAAGTAAATACTTGACAACATATATAATTTTTTGCAGATATAGCTGAAGTTGACAAAGCCTGTGCCAAAAATGTTCACACCACTTGCAGCAAGAAGTTTGTCGAAGCTGTGAAGAACGACAAACTCATATGTTCTGATGGCGCAGCTTGGCTGAACTGTTACGTGGAGAATAACAATTGCGATGAAAAATCTTTGATTTACCGTTACACTCAGTATGTCAGTAAAGTGGCACCATATTTAGAGCAAGAATGCAGCCAAGCTGTTCATTGACTGATTCTTTTGTTAACCGCCGATTTTGATGATAACAGAGTTGTAATGGAAGAGAAAAAGGATATTTTGTAATCTTTCTTCTGGTGCTATTGCATGAATAAGATAGGCGAACATAGTATAAACTAAAGGTTGTTATATCTACGTTATACCTCGAAAAAATAAAGTTGAAGACGGAAAGTTAAGAAATCCTTATATCAATATTTGTATTCTGGGTAGAGTGTATTACGTAGAGCGCTCAATTCATTTGATGGAAGAGCATTGACTATAACTACATATTAGTCCAGCAATCATCTTTTATTGCGACAGTGCTGTTTCGTATGGTCCGAAATTATAGGACCACTTGATGAGTGTGGTCCTATAATTTCGGACCATACGAAACAGCATTGTCGCAATAAAAGATGATGACTCCTGAAGCCTGAACTCCTGTGAAATCCTTATATCGATATTTCTTTCAGTTTACGTCTTTTACTACAGCAATTTTCCACCAACATAACTCTGGCGACATCCGTGTTCAAAATACTTCCTTTCAAGGAGATTGTGGCATTAGGCTTTTAAGCTTTTTAGGAAAGCGTGCTTTATAAAAGTCTTCTGACCATAGAGTTCAAACGGAGAAAGCTTAAAACAGGGAGCCCACGTCGCCTAGGTAACTTTCCTTGTGTTACTAACTGATATTTCCTTTGCAAACCACTGACAACCCTTCAGTAAAAAGTGAAACCAGCTGTTTAGATTAACTTAAAAATAGCATTTTTTCAACCTCAATAGAACACTATTTTGTTGAAATCCAAGTACTCCCAACAATACACGTCACTGATTAGTTAATTCGCCCTGTCTTAAAAATCAAACAGTATTTCCAATATTTCAGTACGATTTCATTATCACAGCGGCTCTGTTTGACATTTGAGCAACAATTAGTTTATAAAATAGGACCAGAAAACTGCGCGTTCATCCGACAAAAGGCTTGATTTTTGCAGTCGCCTTAATCCAAACAAGAGATTTTCAAGAAATTTTTGTTCCAGTCAAGTTTAAGGTACAATGTTACGAATAATTCACCTAAAATCCTTACAAGAAGAGATCCCATAGAGACCATTATGTTACTCTTCCTACAGGGTTTTTTCCTTAACAAACTTGCAATCCAACTAGACGGATGAGTTCTTTGACATTACTAAGCCAGAAGATCCTTAATGCAGTGTCAACTTCTGTGAAGCTTAAAGGCATTTTAGCGCGAGATTTTAACTTGATTTGCTTACTTGCCGCACGAGCTAAATGTGTGTGAATAGCAGCAAACAAGAACCTTTTCGATTCAGTGTTTGTGCAACAAGAAGAAAACGTGAAGTTGGTAAAACGAACATATACAAGCGCTTTGTTAACAAAAACAGGCAAAAAAGGTAACCTTACAATTCCCTTCTATTTAACAGTTAGAGACTAGTTGTTTTAGCGAAAAAAAAAATGAACGCAGGAGTAAATAATCGAAGGTTCGAGACATTCGTCCATAATTTGTTTCTTAACTTCAACTGAAAGTTCCCTAAAAAGGAATTAACTGATATTTTTTAACACTTCTTTGAACTTGCTGTAAAACACATCGAAGATTTGTAATATTTATCTATCAATATGCAGTTGTTTTCAATGGAAACAAAATAGATATTAGGTTTAACAGGTTCGTCCATTACCTTGACTAAACTGGACTTATCTGGTTGCCATAAAATAAAAACGAGAAAACGCTTCATAATAATTACTCTTAAAGTTCGAAATACCGATTTTCCAAGGAAACCCGAGATTTATCTAGACGTTTATTAACACGAATGTTTAGAAAGGGCGTTATAAAAATATTTTTTATGAAAATTTTAATAACATATGACAAAAACGAAATATTTGATTATATATGGGGTAAGTAAACAGAATGTTGACTGTGTTTCTGATGAGATACAGCGAAAAAAAAATAAGAGTAAAAAAAATTGATGCAAATTAAGATCTACTTTTTGAGGAAATTTTATCGACACCACAACACTAGCGTGCGTGGCAGGCGTTCGAAAGGGAAGGGAAAGGGAATTAGGCGTCCTTTCCTTTATCCCTCGCGCGCCCCACCCTACAACACAAAAATAGGCAACAAATTGGTGTTAGACGGACTACGTAAACTATAAGATCTTCTATGACTTATGAAGGCTGAAGCGTCCACAAAGTGGGTACCATAGATTTTATAAAAGCCTATGGATCTGAGGATCGCTTGTAGAATTTATCTTAAAATGATCAGGTGACCATTGTCATCCTATTTATTTTTATTGTTGTTCGTCTTTTTCGTTTTTAAAACATCAAAAGAAGTATTTATAAGTGGCTTATGAGGAACGTGAGTAAAAAAATGATTTTTTTTTTTGGAAAGGCTTTATTATAACAGTTTTTAAGGAGACATCAGGCTTTCTATTTCTGAACTATCGAGGAACTGTTTGTAAAGTAGCTTATCATAGCTACATTTTAACGACTGGATTCTGTATTTTTGTCGCCAGGTTTAAAGGGCCATTATGCATCTGGTGCGTTCAACTTATATGCTTCTACTAATCCTCGCCTCCTTTACCTTGTTCTTGTCGGATGGAAAAAAGAGCTGCGAATCAGAGCAACTTCAGAAATGCATTTCTCAGTATGTGGAACTTGTCAGGGGCAAACAAGCGGATGGATCTAGCGAGCAGCATTGCTCTCGAGTGCAGGTAATTGGAGTTATAGGAATTTTAGGATACCGTGAGGAGCCCATAACCCGGATCGAGCAACTCCCATACTAGGCCTACGTCACGGCGTTTTACAGCCCGTTTTATTTTTAGACACATTTTAGGACACTTTTTCCTACGAAATTGAAATCTCCACCACGTCTATGGACGCATTCGAAGTATAAGATATCAAAGAGGAAAACGCAACGTCATTAAAAGGCTAAAATTATCATTTTTAGGTCTGTAGATTTTGCTGATTGGTTTGTGGGACCTTAAAGATATTCTAAATTCGCGCCAAAACCGCTCTAAAAATAAACTGGTCCGTGAAAACGCCGTGACAGGAGTACATGGAAATAGCTCGCTCCAGGTTATGGGCTCCCGATAACGCAAACTGTAACTTGTACCCTCCCCCCACCCCAGTTACCTGTAAACAATCAAAGGCGACAAAAACGAAAAAATACAGTCCAAGGCCGCTTTACGGACACCACCTTGATGCGGACACCTCGTTAGCACCGACAATTTCCTATGTCTCTGAGGAAGCCTTAACTGATTTTCTCAAAATTCTACCCGCTTAATACGGAGAACCGTTAATGCGGACAACGGACACTTGTTTCCTGCCCAACAGATTATCGTAGAAAGTCAACCTCGCTAATGAGGACACTACATTATCAACTGTCCCTTTAAATAGACCTCTCCTTTTAAAGATAGAAAAAAACTTCTTCAGTTGACAGCATGTCGATGTTTCCAACGCTAAAGTCAGAGTACACCGGATAGGATGAATTGTAGAGGTCTACGACTATTTTGGCATCAAACGAGTTATGCAAGGAATACAAGGAACTGTTTTGATTAAGCAATATATAGATGGGGACGATTCTTGACTCTTTCCGTGGATTTATTCCGCCGATTGACGGCTTTGTGAAGTTTAGTAATGTATAACTCGACGATGCTAATGTCATGTTGTATTTCTTTAGTCTGTGTTTCTTTCGAATGAAAGGTGTCTTTTCTACTTTATTAATAGCTTGACCGGCTTAATACGGACACTTTATATGGTCCCTTCAGTGTCCGTATTAACGGGCTTTGACTGTACATCCGATTATAAGCTTCCTGGATATTAGCCTCCCTCTAGCTCCAATTATAAACATGCCTCTAAATTCGATTTATTATGACCCTCCGGAGCTTAATTAAAAAACAGTAAATACAAAAAGTATTTTGATCAGCAGCGCTATTAGTTTTTTCAAAGCGTCTTTTCTATTCCGGTTATAAACCCCTCAGTTTATAAGCCTTCCTAAAACTTCTTATTAGCGGAGTTTACGGTATTATGCTGTGCAGTTATTTACTTGGTTATCAGAGGCCTCAATGGGGATAAACCGTTAACCTTAAGACTGCCCAAAAGTGGGGCGTTATGTAAGTGGTAAAATTCAAAATAATAATAAAAATATTCCCGAAAAATTTTCTTGTAGGGAAATTTCTTATTTTTAAAGTGTTATATCTTGCAGCAAGATATAATTAGATAAAATTTCTATCCTACTTCAGTTCTTCGTGAGATAAATGGTTTCGAATGATCGGTTAGTTTCCTTACTGAAAATAAATTGGAAAGTAACCGTTCAACGTAAAAGCTACCACTTTCACTTTGGATAATAAGAAGTCTAAAACGAGCACAGCCTTGGCTAAACCGAAATTTTGCTGTTCCACTGTCGGAAAATTTTCTTAAGTGTGTATTTTTTTGTCAGTGAAGGAATACACGGCCTTTAAAATTTTACCTAGGCAATACAACTACTTTGGTTGTCTTTACTCTGGCTACTAATGGACTGGAAAGAAATGAGATCGTATGCGATTTTTCCAATTTTTATATTTTGAAAAGGAAAAAAAGGCGTTAAATGTTTTTTAAAACAATGGAAGTTACTTTTTACTTGAAAATCAAAAGTTTGCTTCAGAAGACTTCCGTAATTTGCTATCGTACGGTTAGGATTTAGCTATAAGAGGCAAGGCAGGACCCCCTCCTTAAAAAAGAAGAAGAAGAAGAAGAAGAAATAAATGAAATTAAAGTAAATAAATAAAATAACAAAATAGTAATCATTAACGTCTGCATTGAGAACCTCAGTGAGATCATGACTACTCAGTCTACTCACGCATGGCCACTGGTTTTAAGCGGAAAACGACGTCAAAAAAAATTGACAGCGAAATTTAAATTTAAATAAATGGTTCAACAAATAATCATTTCAACTGGTTTTTAAAGAGCACGTCGCAATAGACTCAAATGTGAAAACAATTTTTGAGAAGCTCAATCGCTTGGTTGAGAAATTATTATTAATACTTGATTTTTGCATTGCCCGCAATTTTAATACTTTTTTGAAAATAACATAAGCACACATTTCAAAATGCTAAGTATCTCCTAAAGCAACTGAACTTTTAAAATTTTGTAAAGTGTGCGATAAAACAGGCCAAGAAACTTGTAATTTATTAAGGTCTTTTTTCGACGGTTTACCATTGATTAACACCAAATTGTTTTCGACCAGATGAATGTGCTGAGCAAAAGGCAAAGAGTAGAGGAAGGCCAAGCAAACGAAAAAAAATGGAGCAGACCAAAAGATGCCAGGGTTAAAGTTCGGAAAAAATACCCCTAAAATGCATCAAACTCTAGCTGCAGTGTAAAAAAAGTGCCTTGGCGGAAATGTTTACACAGTAACTTTTGGGGAGTTATTATAACTCCAAAAATGGAGTAAAAATTTTAGGTACAGGATAACCCCTTTTATGGGGTCACTTTAACTCCTGATTTAACTCCAAATTCGGGGTCATTTTTACTCCTGAAAAAGAGTTTTTTTCTCTTCCAGTCTGGAGTTAAAATAGCTCCGAGAATGGGGTTATTTTTACTCCTTACATGGGTTGTTTTTTGAAGTTAATTTAACCCTTAAGTGGAGTAAAAATCTTCCATTTCTTCATTTTAAAAAATGACCCCAAGAAAGGAGTTATCCTGTACCTAAGATTTTTCAATACACTAGAGGAGTTATTATAACTCCTTGAAATTACTGTCAGTGATAGCTGGACATTTAGCGTCATAGCAACCAAGAAGCCAATTTAACGGTTGAAATATGTTTTTGAATGGGGGGTAAAAATTCCGCGGTTAAAGGGTTAAATTTGAAAAAGACTCAATTGAGGACTCCATTTCCCTCTGGGTTGAACTTTTATTCAAAAGATCCACTAGGTTTTCATTGACGCTTCGTTAAGACAAAGGTCTGGAAAATTCTAGAGAGAGGACAAAATATGTTTTCCAAGAAATAAAACCTTGTGTACTTTCTCTTCCTACAGGAAGTTTTGTCCTGCTTTGCAGAAAACCCATCATGCAAGGGACAGTCAGTTAATAGTTTTCGCCAGTGGATTTTGAAAGAGGCAAAGCTTGAGGTCAAGCTTAATATCTGCCCTACAATAAATCCAAAAGAGCTCGAAGAATCTGTTTCAAATACAGGTAAAATGGCTCTTACGTAAATTCGCTTGGTCCTCGTGTAATTACATTTATAAACTCTTTTTTCTTTTTTCATGCAGTCAAGAGAGAATAAAGTCGAAAGGGAAGCGATCATTACAAAATAATG